TGATTCCACTTACTTTATGAAACAGTGGCTGAATATTTTGAGTATTTTAAAAATTTTTCTCCCTGTATTTTCATTTCTCCTTCTTCCCTACCTGCCCAGTTCCTCTCTTCGGAGGGATTTTTACAGGGATTCCCTACTCCAGGACAGGTTTGCATCAAGATGGAAAGCAGAAGTGTCAACAAAGAGTCTGGAAAAAAATTAAGACCTTGTCTACACTGCTCCTCCCGCCCCCCTACACAACCATACACATAGCCTCCCCACCCACACAGAGCCCCCCCTACACAGCCCCTCCCACCCCCCACCCTCAGTCCCACACACAGAGCTCCACACCCCACCACATACACTCACACCCACTGCCATACATATGGTCCCCCCCACAGCACCCCCCACAGCCCCGCAGTCACACACAGCCCCCAACACACCCTGCACACATAGCCCTCCACCCCTCACCCCCTCCCACATAGCCCCCGCCACACACCCTCTCCCACACCCCCCACCACCTCCCACACAGCCCCCTCCACACAGCCTCCCCACCCCCACATCCCCAGCCCCCCCCCCCTCCACAGAGCTCCCCACACATAGACCTACCCCCCACCTGCCACACAGCCCCACACCCCTGCCACACACACATAGCCTCACCCCCACACACACACCCCCGCACATAGCCCCCCCAGCCCCACAGCACCCCCACAGCCTCAACCTCCCCTAACCCCACACACAAGCATTAAGGCATAGCCACTTAAGTGGGAAGAACTTGGGCAACATCCCAGCCGGACACAAAATGCTGGGGGACCCTGCTTGCAGAGGTGCCCTGTGCGGGGAACCAGAGTCGGGCTAACGGAAACACCAGTCCGCCACCAAACATGAAAAAGCCTGTGGGCAAGGACAGTCGTCACGGCCATTGTCACCTCCGTGGCTGGAGGGCTGGAGAGAACAGGGAACTGAGGGTGTTTCCTGCCAGCCCGGCAGGATATGAGCCTGAGAAAGAAACTAAGGGTGAAAAAGGCATGGTTATGTCTGTGTACCTGACTTGGAGCGCTCTCCGGCTCCACGCTGATAGCCTCAGAGATTGGACAGGAGAGCAGCCCAAACTCCAATCTCACCACCACCACGTGCAAACTGTTAGAATAATCCCATCAAGCGCCAAGCTGGCTTCAGTCATCCCCTAAAAGGAATACAATGGGTACAGAGAGAAATGTTTCTGGGGCGCCTGGGTGGCTCAGTGGGTTAAGCACCTGCCTTCGGCTCAGGTCATGGTCCCAGGGTCCTGGGATCGAGCCCGGCATTGGGCTCCCTGCTCAGCGGGGAGCCTGCTCCCCCTGCTTGTGTGCTCTCTAATAAATAAAAAAAATCTTTAAAAAAAGAAAAAGAAAGCTATGTGGTGGAATTCGAACTTTCAAAAAAAATTGAGGGATACAGCAGAGCCTGAATATACTTTAAGAAGTATGATGTGCTTCAAATCATTATTCAACATCAAAACGTTTGGATATAGCCAAACCAACACTTCTCAAACTTGAACACGCATAGGGATCAACTGGGGATATTGTTAAGATGCACGTCCTGGTTCAGTAGGTCTGGGTGGGGTAGTTTCTGCGCTTCTCCCAGGCTCGCGTGGTTCAGGGCCAACACAGCTGATCCACAAACCACACTGCAGAGCAGGTCCTCACCTGCTCACGTGGGGAGGAAGTATTCTAGTTCACACAAGGCAGGCAGGAGAAAACGTGTTCGCCTGGAGGGCGGGTGTCGGTGGGGTAAACTCTGATTGGGTAAGGTTCATAAGGGACTGAGGAACGGTAAGATCAGGACTCTGAAAGGGAAGGGAATGCCCAAGGGCCGCATTTACTTTTCTTGTGATTCTGTGGAAGATCCAGACAGCAAAACGCCCAGTGACAAAATGTGGTGGCGGATTGCGGGCTCACGAGCTCACCCCCCAGGCCAGTCTAAGCTCTGCACTCTACCCCAATACTTCCCCAGGCACCCCTCAGCCTGCCCTTCCAGGAGGGGGCAGGAGACTGGGAAAGTGCTCAGTGTGGATATAGATACAGAATTGTGCTATTTCCTAGTCTTCAAACCAATAGACCAAGATGCTGGGGCGCCTGGGTGGCTCAGTTGGTTAAGTATCCGACTCCTGATTTTGGCTCAGGTCATGATCTCGGGACTGTGGGATTGAGCCCGGTGTTGGGCTCTGCACTCAGCAGGGAGTCTGGTTGAGATTCTCTCTCCTTCTCCCTCTGCCCCTCCCCCTGCTCACTCTTTCTCTCTATAAAAATAAATAAATCTTAAAAAAAAAAAAGTTCAAGATGCTGAGCAATTGTTTTAATTTTTTTTTGGTTAAAACTTCAAGGTTGGGGCGCCTGGGCGGCTCAGTCAGCTGAGCATCTGCCCTTGGCTCAAGTCAAGATCTCAGGGTCCTGGGATCGAGTTCCTCATCGGGGTCCCTGCTTCTCCTTCTCCCTCTGCCCCTTCCTCTCCCCGCCCCCCCCCACTTCTGCTAAGTAAATAAAATCTTTAAAAAAAAAATTCAAGCTCTACAGACAGAAAAAGATAAATACCATTATGACCTCACTTATATGGGGAATCTAAAAACAACTCCCCCCAACCAAAACCAACAAAAACCAAGCCCATGGACACAGAGAACAGACCAGTGGTTGCCAGAGACGGGAGACCAGACCAAATGGGTCCAAGGGGGCAAAAGGTACAATTTCCAGTTATAAAATGAAAAGTCCTGGGGAAGTAATGTACATCATGGAGACTACAGTGAAAACGTCATACTGCATATTTGAGAGTAGCTAGGAGAGTGGACTTTGAAGTTTCTCATCACAAGAAAAAAAAAACATTTATAGCTCCCTGTGGGGACAGATGTTCAGTGGATTACTGTGGTGGCCCTTTTGCAATATATACAAATACCGAATTATTATGTCGTCCACCTGAAGCTAACATAATAGTATAGGTCAACTATACCTCGATTTGGAAAAAAATCAATCAAAAGACCTTTAAGCTCTACCAAGTCAGCTTTCCCTTGATGCTCATAATTATTGAGAGAGAGAGAGGAAAGAACGGGCATTCCCAAGAATTTCCTCTCACAGAACTCCTTCCCGCCAACAGTCCATATCCATCCTCCCGCCCAAAAAGGCACAGGACTGTCCAGATAACTTTTCAGTATTTTTATTGTTTGACAGGCATTTACAACGTTCCATTCGGGACCTAAAAACATAAAAATAGACCTTCTTTCAGCTTATAAAAGAAATATATAAGAACTTTTGACATAGACACGTCATGACCTTATGTACAAGAGACAATGGCACCCTCTCCAAGCACCTGACTTTCCAGCATTTTTCAGACGGAACTGTTGCACTGGGATTAGTAAGTGTGACTTTATCAGAAGCCTCTGCTTCACTTTTCCATCCGGACACAATCGAACTGGAGGTGATATGGAACAATGCAGTGGTACAAAGGGTATAGAAACCATTCTAAAGCTTTTTAAGAAAATCAGAAGATATAGCAAAAATTTAATAGAATAAAACTTTCAAAAGATCAAGCTCAAAGCCCTGGAAACCCAAAAAGGGGAGGGATATAGGGTGGGAAAGCGGGTAAAGCAAGCAGGGGCATAGGAGCATGATGTTCTGAACTCTCTATTGTCTGGAAATATAAAGTCATAACTGATTTTTATAAAATATAATTCCTAAAGCTACTATAAAATTCAGGTCTTTAAAGTACCTACTGATGTGTCAAACACCAAATAGATATTTTCCCCAAAAAGAAAGTTTTCATATTATTTAAACCCTTCTTAGGAAGTGGACATTGTGAAATGGGAAGAAGGAAAAAAAAAAAGCTATAAACCGTTTAAAAAAAAAATCGAAAGTGCTTTAACTTGTTTTTGTTCTTCCTATTTGGAAATCTGTTTAGAATGTTAGCTTTTTAGCATGTTTACCCTGTTTCGTTGGCATGTAGAAAGTATGAAACACAAGGGATGTTTTTGAAGAGGCTGTCGTGTTAAGAGGTTTGGTATGGACCGTCAGGGAAGGGACAGGTAATCTATGGATGAAGATGCAACTTTGATGGGAAAACCAATGATCACCATGGCAACCCCTTGAGAAGGAGCCTCCCCTCCCCCGCCATGTGCAACAGACACACACACGCCCATCGGGTGTCATGTTTAATCCAGCCAAACTCCCATCTCAGATAGAGATTCAAACATTAAAAAAAAAATAAAAAACAAACCAAAACCAAAACAAAACAAAGAAAACAAAAAGAAATCTTCTTCTTGGAAAAAAAGTTTCTCCTAAGCATCTTGTTGGCCTTTCGTATATAAATATAAATCACCATGCCTCACTCTCTCTGTAAAAGGTAAAATCCTCATTTTTTTTTTTTTTTAGACTCAGTTACACTAACACTGTAAAATTCTCATCTGTTTGTGCCCCTGCATCTCAGGTAAAATACAAAAAATAGTGTTTTTTTTCAAGTGATAAATTTGGATCTCCTCTCAAAGAGTTTGGCATCTTTACAATTCTATGCAAAACTAGAACTTCCGACACGGACATGGAGTAAGACCAGCCATAGACCAAAACAGAAGAGAGAGAGGAAAAAAAAAAAAAACAAAACCAATGGCTCATCAAAACATACATCTCCACCGTCTCCTCACACATTCTTAAAATACACAGATATTCTCAGACATTGAAGAGGGAAAGGAGTAAGAACACTGTTAGGCTGTACAGTTGCTTTGTGGCATTTTGTGTTTGAAGGTGGTTTCCCCAACTAAGAGATGGCTTCTGGACTGATTTCAGATAGAGTGACTTTTATTATTAATTTTTTTTTTTTTTTTTTTTTGTGCTATCCCTTCAACTAATCTGTTGTACATACTTTAAACTCCTGGGGGTCACTCGCTTTCCAGTGCTGTAGGATCTTTTTTCTTTTTTTTTCAATCTTTTAATTCTTCCAGCCCTGATTAGTTGAGAAATAAATAAAAGCCCTTAGTAATATACAGAAGATAGGACTCGAGCTTATTTGGGATTCTGAACAATTCTTCCCGATGTCGTTAGAAATGACGAAGTTGGGTGGCTACATGGCTTCGGAAAAAAAGTCAGCCGCCAAGACCATGTGTGCAAGAGCGCGACCTAAGGGAACATTCTCCCCCTCGCGGGGACAGGAGGGGGACAGGAGGGGGGGCAGAGTGAGGGCAGGGCGGCGGGGGCGGGGTGCGGTATCTACACACACTCTCTAGGGGGGAAAGGGACAGTCAGATCTCTGTGTTCAGTTTCCTGGACGGGGCAAAGTCTTCACGCCTAACCCAAATGACTTCCTCACCCGGGCTCTCCAGGCCTCCATTGATGCCCGAGAGGGCCGCTTGCTTCTTGAGCTGCGTCATGCGGGACGCGTGACTATCCAGGGCTCTCCGGCCTCTCTCCCGCTGACTGATGGAGGCAGCCTGTAGCTGCTCCCGGAGCTCTGTGTCCACTGCGGCGCCCTTCACGGACTCGCAGAACTCATCATCGTCACTGAGGATGTCTGTCTCCTTGATGTCCTCCTGCTCTTCGTACTGAGCAAGATCAAACTGTTCCTCCACCCACCGGTCAGTGTCCCCGCCACCGGGGGGCTGCTGGGACTCTTTCTCCGGGCTGCTGGTAGAGACGGCATCAGAGTCAATGGTAAACCTGTTTCGAGCCAGGCGCCGCCTCCTTCTCCCAAGAGACTTGCTTGGGGCGGACACTGCACACACACACAAAAATATAAAAATCAAACCCCCACATGCTTTACATGCGATGACAATCCAGACAGGAAAGCAAAGAAAGGAAAAACTACATGGGATTTATTTAGTGCCTTGCTGTCGTTCGGGGCTTAAAGTCCAGATTTCATCAGTCTGTCTTAGAGTCTTTACTCCACACGGATGTCTGGACTTGGAGGATGTTATAGCAACTGACTGAAGGGCAAAGGGGGGACGGACAGAGGGACACGGGGAGGGGTGTTGGTTATGGGGAAAAGGGGGTTCACCTCCCTCTGAAACAATCCACTTCTCTGTCCTGTGCTGCACCCAAGGAGACCACCGACCTTGGGATTAGTTAGTGCCCTCAACCCTGACACTGTCACATGGCACAGAGCTCTGGGGATTCCGAAGGGCTGTCCCAGGGACATTGAGCTGGAATGGGTCTTTAGTAAGGGTGGGGGATGCTTCTAGAGTTCCACCGTCTTGGTGGACATCACCATGATGTGCCAAGGAGGCAGAAGCACTGGGCCAAGCTATACTGCTTTCTGGGAAACCAAACGTACCATTTCTGGAGGATCTGCAGTTAGTTAAGGGCGCGGCGTCCCTCACACAGAGCCTAGGGGAGAGCTACTCTCGGACATACCAAGTCTCCAGTGGCCACCCTGCCCTCGTTCTGCCAAAGCCCCACATCCACTGTGAAGCTACGCAAATGGGAGCTGTAGCCCCTGCTGACTACGTTCTGTGTATCACCGATTTCTCTCCTACAAAGCAATGAAAATATCGGTGCCTGAGTGGCATGAGAAATAAATAATATAGACACCCATGCCATTGATCCTCCAAGTGCTCTAGGAAGTGACTAACAAGAGAAAACAAATCTCAGAATTCATTCGTTCACCCTACTGCCTTCTGGGAAGCCAGAATTATTCCAGACAAACACACAAGACGCCACCCAGTCAGGCAAACGAACATTCTCACCACACACATACACACACGTGCACGCGGGGAAATGCTGCCCCTCGCTAGTCAAGTGGCTACTGCGTGAGACCTGAGCAGGTGAAATGCATCGTGGGCTTTCCAATGGAGGGGGAGAGCCTAGACACCAATTAGGAGCAGCGTTCCTGAAACCTAAGCCCTAAAAACCATTAAACTGCTTCAGGGCTCCTAGAAGCGAGAGGACTATCCCCAGTGACTACCAAACACAGCAGGTCCCAGGCCAGTGAGTGGGCCATCCCCTGCCTCAGACCCCTGTGTTCCCATTATGGTTCCGAGGTGTTCTATAATCTTAAAATACGGAACAAATGGACTTCCCTCTTAATCAAGGAGGGGAACCGAAAAAAGGTTTCCAGAAAAAAATGGAAAAAAGGAAAAAAAAAAAAACCACGCACTGTGTCTCCTCCCCTGGGAAGAAGCACATCTCCTGGTCAGTTTTATCCCAACACCCTGTAGTGGAGACTGGCTCTCTCCAGTCACTTTACTAGAACCACCTCAGTTCAAAACTGGGCTCTTGGAAATATTTGCCAATGACCTCCATGCTAAAGTATTTAGGGGTAAAATGTGTTGATGTCTGTATTTTTGAAATGTGTCAAAACTAACAATGAGTTGATGGAGGATAGATGGATAGATATGTGATAAGGAAAATACAGAAAAAGATCAATCATAAGAATAGATGGTAGGTTCTGTATGTGTATCATTCTTTCAGCTGTTGTATTGTATCTGAAATTTTTCATAAGAAAATGTTGAAACAAAAAAATTTTTTAATTGGGTTACTGGCAGACATACAGTACTTTCAGACTTGAGTACTGAGGCAGAATATTTGGCTTTACTGTCCTTTTCCAAAAGAACAGAGAAATAAACTACCTGGGTATTCATGACAATGCATAATGAAGCATGAGTATTTATCCTTTATTAAAAGGATACGTAATAGGCCAGCCAGCCTTCTGGGGTTCAGGGAGACAATCTCTGATTTGAGTATTCCCAGTGCATTGTTAAAACTGACAAGCTTAGTGCTAGCTGACCCACTCAAGCACCATCTTTAAAATTATCTAACGTGAAGATCCTGACGATAGTGAGGAATTTCAAAAGCAGAATAGCTGAAAATGAGCCATCGGGCAGAAAATCTTTCAATTAGCCAAAGCCAACAGGCTGACATGGAGGGTTTCTCCTGGTTTTCATGACAGTGTAAGGTGTGGGTTGGTTTTGTTTTCTTTCCAAATGGGTCTCAGCAGGAAAACTTCTGAGGTCCTACAGACTACAGTGGCTTAGATTTCAAAGTAAATGCAGCTCTGAATTGAAGTCCCTTGAAAAACAATCAAAACCTGGCCTATGACAGGTGGGTTTCCTAAGGTTGGGACATGAATTCTCAATCCTAATTTAAGCATCCCGTGGCAAATAAAAGGATCAGGTGAGACAAGTCTCAGGAGAAATGCTCTGTTGTGAGCTTACAAAGGGATCCGCAAAGCTTTCTTAACATGAAGACTCCATGAGAAACTGTGGATACAGAGGTATGCAAGACTCTTAAGATACCTTGGAGAACCCAATAGAACATTGGGGGTTCACTGCACCAGGTTTTCAATAAACACTTATCAACTGATTGGAGAATAGATTCAAGATAACTAACCCCAACATTAGTCCAACTCAAGAGCTTAGAGAATGTAATATCCCATGTCAAGCTTTGTAGGCTATGTCTGCGAAAACCTCCAACCATTCACAATTAATTTATCCATGCCTCTTCGCCACAATTGAAAATAGGCGGAAAGGTCATCGAGACAAAGGTCAGAACCTTTTGACAAATGCAAAGGAAGGCTCTTTTATTGGAATTTTCCCTGACCAATTCGGGGCTGCCTCTTAAGAAAGGAGTGATGAAAGTGTTAATATCTTGATGTCATTAATATATCTACATCATGAAAACATCTTTCTTCCTAGATAGATTTTACTGCTGTTTATAGATGGTAGTATGGGTCTTCCTTCCTCCCCGCTCCACAGTGACAATTCTAGTCCTAAAAGACTATTTACTCTGGGACCATTTAAACTCTACATTCCTCTTTACCAATAGCAGCTCAAGGCTTCCCCAAACTAACACTGAAGCTAAAAATAAAGTTGCAGGCATAAGGCAAGGGTAAAAATCTGATGTGTCATCTGGTCTACCAAACATGGACTCCTTACTGAGAACAGGCATTGCCGTGTTTCCAGATTACAAGGCCACCATGTTCTCAGAATGGTGGGCCATGACCTTGCTGAGACATGACACACTGCTTTTGGCTAGAACAGCTGGCCGGCATGCAAAGTAGCGACTCTCATTCCACAAGCAGGCTGGGAGAGCCCCTCCAGAAAGAGAATGCGCTCACTTCCTGGCTTGGCGAATGAGAGAGGAGTCCCCAGCCAAAAGGAGGAGGGCGGCAAAGGGAAGCTGGAGGGAGGGCAAGAGGAGTAAACGGAAGGGTGGATCCCCAGGGAGCTGCTGGGAAGGAGGCAAGGGCAAGGAAGCTCACACCAGGGAAGAGCTGTGCTCCAACGTTAGCCCCCACAAGGCCACGTCTAATTCTTGCTCAACAAAAACGTCAAGCTCACTGGAGTCCTACAGTGGAGCGGGGGTGACGGGGATCTTGAACGTCGGAATCCCCACAGTACCTGCCCTGCTCATGGCTGGCCTGGCCCCTTTGAGCGCACACAATCTTTTTCCTCCAAAAGGTACATATTGCTGGGATGAGGGAAGGCTTTCGGTTTTGAGGAGCTGTCTTCTGTGCTTATCACGCAGGATTGAATGCACAGCCTTCAGGAAATCTTTCCTGCTCTCTGGAGAGCTATGAAAAGAAAAGAAGATTGACACGTGTTAGGGGAAAAGTACTTAACACATGGGGAACTGCTAATATTCTTGGGTGCAGCCCAACAAACATCCCCAAAGGCCAAAGTTATAAAGACTGAGGCCACAACTCCAATTTCTAGGCTGAGCCATGTTTTCATCGCTGGTGATAGAGGATACATTCTTCTTTCCCTTTACGCTTTGTGATTCATCTCCTGCAGCTAATGTGGGACAGACAGCCACCACAAATGGCTAAGGTGCCTTCTTATGATGCTAGCATTAATGAGACAGCCCATTAATGAATAGATTGATCCTGCACCCAGACGTTGCCAGATTCTGCTCTTGATACTTAACGGCAAAGCCTTTCATTCTAAAATGCTTTTGCAGGCAATTGAACCACAGGATTCTCAGCTCTGCAGAGCACCCGAAGTCTGATGTCCCAACCAACATCCTTAGTTCCCTCTTGAGCCGGCCTTCTGTTAAATATCAACTACTCCCACGACACATTTCAACAAGTTAACGCTACATTGTAGAGAACCGGACAATCTTCCCAAGTCCTAATTCCCACAGTAAAAAAGTACTTCCTGGTTAAGAGTCATTTTTCTCATTAGGTTCTCAGCATTTTTACCCAGGTTAAGTGTCACCTGGTATTCCTTATTAATGACAAATATTGCATCTCTAAGAGCAGGCTCACCAGACCCCAGGGACCTTACCAACAAAACCACAAATGGTAAAGACGGCACCCAAACCACATGTGGATCATTTGAAAAAAAATGTCAATTCTAGTCCCAGGAGCCTCCCACATTCTGCCCTTTATTGATTTCTCACTCAACACAGAGAGGTGATGCAGATACACAAAACAGGGGCTTTGAAGTCAAACCTACCTGAGTTTGAACTCAGTGATCATTTGCTATAATATTTTAGGCAAAGTACCCTCCAAGAGCCTTGGCTCCCCATACGTAAAATGGAAGAATGTACCTCAGTCTGGCTAAATGAAATAATGCACGTAAGGGGCTTAGCATAGTTCATGCTTGGTTAATGTGCCTTCTTATGATGCTAGCAATAACATGAAAAAATATTGCTAATAATCACAACAACATTGATTCTGTCAGATCTTTTTTTTTTTTAAAGATTTATTTGTGAGAGATAGAGAACGCGTGCGCACAAGCAGAGGGAGAGGCAGAGGGAGAAGCAGACTCCCCGCTGAGCAAGCAGCCTGATGCAGAACTCAATCCCAGGACTCCAGGATCATGACCTGAGCCAAAGGCAGATGCTTAACCAACTGAGCCACCCAGGCGTTCCAACTCTGTCAGATTACTTTGTAGGGAAATTATAGCATATTACTACCCAGGGTGTGGGGTACTGGGGAAGTCCTGAGTAAATCACTAAGTACCCATGATTAGCTTAAAGCCTAACTGAGTACAGATCATATGTCAAGCAAAATACACCAGAACACTGGCCATTGGGACCATTCATTTTGACATTTTTTAGGCAAAAAAACAAAGAGAGGGAGAACTGGCTGCATCTGAAAAAGGTCTTAAAGTCTCATGGAGGAGGAGGAGAGGGAAGGACAAGGGGGAAGGAAAAGAACAAGAAGAAATAAGTAGAAGCCCTTCTAAGTTCAGCTTCCTCCTGAGACCTGTAGGTGAACCTGAGCAACCTGTGGCAGCCTCCCTACCCGACATCCCTCTGCACGACCAGGACCCGGGTAGCGCCCGCAGACCCTCTCACCTCGTCCCAGCTGGTTCCCCACCTGCCTCATCTCAGAGACGCCACAGTACACACAATGCATCTAAACACCAAAACAAAATAGTACAAGACGGCCACGTCCTTCTAATCTACTTCTAATCAAACGTAACTATGGGAAGAAAGCCCTCATTTGAACATCACATATACAAGAAAATTCCTACTTCCTTTTAGAAAGATAGGAAGTTAATGAGGTTATTGTCTATGTTCTGATAAAACCAGTTTAACGTGTCCAATTAGTGTTATTTATTTTTAAAGATTTTATTTATTTATTTGAGAGAGAGAGAGAGAGCAAGCATGAGTGGGGGGAGGGGCAGAGGGAGAAGCCGACTGAGCAGTGAGCCCGACACGGGGCCCGATGCCAGGACACTCTGAGATGAAGACCCGAGCCGAAGGCAGACGCCTAACTGACTGAGCCACCCAGGTGCCCCCCAATTAGTGTTATTTAATAAGTGTTAGCTCATTTCTGAAATGTACAAGAAAAAGCATGCGGCGTCTAGGGACGCACAGGCTGACGTGCGGACCCCAGAGCGGGGAGGGACATCGAGCAGTCACATCCCTCCCAGCCCCAGGCTCACCTGCAGCACAGATGGAAGACCCTCTCCGGCCTCCCTTCAGATTCAGATTTCACATGGACAATTTCACACACAGCGTTTGCTTCTGCATCTAGACAAATTAAAACAAGAATGAATTAGGGTGTGTCTCAAAGAGATTTATTTGTATTTTTACAAAAGCATTTTCTACGCCTTGCTCTAAGATTCCAGAGTGCAGAGCCTCTGAAGGCCGAAGGTTCTTCGCTGCCATCCTTGTCATCTTAAGGAGACAAAGGGAAAGCCTTAATGGGTGTGAAGGAAAAGAACACTTGGAAAATTTTCAGTTGCTGAAATCTCCTGCTCGATGGTCTAGAAGGGCAATCAGTCCATCACATTGATTCCAGAACTGCCCCCTTTCGATGCACAGCCTGTTTGGCGGAACCATTTCAGCTGAGTAAGGAGTTGTAAAGCCAGATTCCATCAGGCCAGTGCTAGAGAGGCAGGTCCTCGTGTCCGTGGCGGGAGCCCTCCCTGCGAGTGACCAGGCCTAGTGCCCTGGACAAACGGGGTTCTGCTTTCTCGGCACCCCCGGGGTACCCACTCTGAGGGAAGCAAAAATGGGACGCTGAGAAGGTGGGGAACAGTTAGGCTTTAATTTCTAAGCCTTACAATGCTTGCGGTACCATATTCTTTTAGGTCCTGAACAGAGTGTTTGTGAAAGGAACAATCACTCTAAACATCGAGACTGCACACAGTGAGGTCTCGGCCTTCTCCAGTGGGTCAGAGCCCTGGTCACAAACCCTCATTGTGCCCACATTATTTAACCCCAACCAGGGCTCATCTGCCAAAATTTCCACAAATCTTCCCAAACGAAGATAAAAATCAAGCAACTGCACGTTCTGATTTCTCAGATCCACTGGAATGTATCTCATAATGAGAAACATGTTGGCTGGTTTTTATAACTTCGTTAGAATAGGCTTTTATCTTGATTGTTTTAAGCTTGATTTGAATGAAAAGCAGAGTGAGAATGGAATGGCATATCACAAAGATGGCTTTGTTTTCAAAATTTAAATTCTTTATGTATTTAGTCCTCAATGAAGGGAAAATTTCTGGCTCAGAAGCCTGCAGTTTTCTATGAACATAAGCGTTCCATCTTATAAACCAGGCAGAAGGAAACACAAACTAGATAATCTGCAACCTAAGATTGCAAAATAGGACAAGAATAGTGTTTAAGTGCCCGTACCTCAGAATGCCATTACAGCTGTGTTAGACCTACAATGTACAGGGTCTCGAAAATCAAATCGTTAAGTGAAAAGGCCCCAGAGTAAATCTCTGTGCTGGAAGATCAGGAAGAAACCTTCTTAAGGCAAATGTATCCATTTGCCTTGAATACATTGGTCCAATGTGGGTTTTGCATTTGATGTTTTCTACTGTAAGGGATCACAACAGTATAGGAAGCTACATCTAGTTGAATCTGGGTGAATTAACTGAAGGTTTCCTAAATACCACATGATATTGGATGAAGGAGACGTGGTTGATGAGGATCACAGCCAATTTTCTTGCTCATGGAGGTGACAGGTAGAAGTGGGGGAAAGATGAGCAATTCACAGGGGACACACCAGATGCCAGAGAGGGTACAGAAATAGGGATCTACCGTGGATGTGTGGAGGTCCCTTCCATGGCCTCCCTGTCTAACCAGACGGCTGCACCTGCTGGCCTGAGAGTTTCTACCTGACCCCCAAGGTGCCCCCTCTGGGGTGTGCTCAGGAGAGCCACTGCTTACAGGTCTTCCCTAGAATGGCCTCAAATTAGGCCCTGGATGGGGCCTCCGAATGACGGAAATAGTCCTCTTGGTCAATACCCTGCTGGCGTTCATGGCTCTTCTCTTGAGCTTAAAGCACCATCTAATTCATATTAACAAGTATATTCCTTGCTATCCGGCAACTCGTTTCACTGCTATTTGGATCACAGAAAAAGGCCTGACATTTCAAAGGCCTCCACACTAATACAAAGTTTGTAATGCTTCACACACACACAAAGATATGTATTTGATGGTTTTTTGTGCTTTTGGTGGTCTTTTCTGGTCTCCCGGTTAAAAAGCAAGTGAGTTATTTTACATGGGCTTTATTTGCTCATGGTCTCAAGGATTCTGTCCAGAAGTACAAGACTCACTGCTACTCTGACATCAGGCACTGTAATATTAATATATAAAACAAAACGACTGGAATTCCTTGGAACGATATTGAAGACATCACATCCATTCACTCGGGTCATTCATTCATTCAAATAGTTAATAAATGGCTGAACAAACAAGAGGCAGGGGAGAGACTGGGGGAAAAGAGAGTTAAATATAGGAGAAAAAAGGGTAGTAGGGTGGTTCGACCAAGAGCATGGCTTTCAGACCAACAATTCACACACGCGTCAAACATGTGCACCCAGCACATTTCAGGGTTTACCTGCACTCGCCAAAGCTCGAACCTGCAGAGCTTCGGTAGGGATCATGTGCCGAAATCGGAAGGGGTCCCAGTCCTCATAAATTGAAAGCCTGTGAGATCCTACCTGCAGGAAGAGAAGGAACCAGGTGCCTGAGAACAGTCTACTCTAGCCTGGACCGGACCGCCCCACCCCCCCGCCCCCCAGAAGATCATTGAGGCTGGAACCCCCACGCCTGTCTGAAGGGACATCAGCCCTACCGGCACTTTGGTTCGTCCAACAGAAAGCAAGAGGCCATGTGATAAACAAGCACGGGGTGTGCAAATGAGTTCACTGACCAGATCCAGGTAAAAGAGAGACATGGGAAGGTGGAGAAGAGAGACCCCCAGAAGGAGAACAGAAAAAGCAAACAAGTGTGGGGAAAGTTCTGGCTACGGCAGGCCTGATAGCTATTCGCTTTCATGCTCTCAACAGGAGCCTGCCAGAGAGAAGGCAGGATGGGCAATTTCCTCCAGTCCTTAGCAACACTTCAAATGTGTTTAAAAAGTTTAAAAAAAAACAAAAGGCAAGAAAATCCTAAGAGGCTGGTGTCTGGTCAAGGGGTAGAAATAAGATTCTTACAAGTTTCTTCTTCTGTTTGGAGCCATCTTTATATACAAGGACCACAGCAGTTTTGAAGACTGGAGAAAAAAAAAAAATAAGACACAGGCGGTTACAGCACGTAACGCGTGGGGCTTTCCCCTGAACCCCGCTAACGTGGGGTTATTGACACTACAGCTCGGAAGAAGGCAGCGACATGAGCCGGCGCCGACTTCACCTTCCGCCCGTTCACCCAGCCGATTGAGACAATGCTTTCCAGGTTCCATAAAAACACAGAAAGCCCAAATAAATGGAAATAAACCCTTCCGCCCCACTGGAAACTTTTGGGTGAAACACCGTTTAACTATGGTGCCATCTCAAGTTTAAAACGCCAGCGATACACATGTTAACAGAAACGTACTAGGTCAGTAATAATAACAATATCGCTTATGGCGATTTAGACTTATGCCAACCAGCCTAATAGTACACATACACGCACAGAGTCAGAGTTTGGGACACAGAATTCATCTTTCTGACCCGAAGAAATGAAAATTAGTTTATGAAGCAGAATGCGTTTGCACTTCCTCCCAAAAGGTTGAATCACAGGAAGCATTTAGAAACAGGGAGTAGGCCGGTTTATTCTTCCAGTCTTTGAGGGGTGGGGAGACACAATAGTTATGCACAGTCCACAGAATTCCTTGAACAATGCCAAGCATGGTGACCACTCGGAGACTCTGACCCCTCCTACAGGGGAGGAAGAAGTGGCGCCCAGAGGGCCGGAAGTGGAGCGAGCCCATCCTTGGCTATTGGGTGGCAGGGACTCCATTCCCCTGCATGTCCTGGCCCCAAGGCAGAGCCGGGGCCCTGTCAGTCCCACAGCAGCCGGAGGGGGCACGCCTGGTGTACCAGACCCAGAATTACAAAGGGAATGGATGTTCCGAAAATTCTTCATTGGGGTGGGGTGGGGGTAGGCTCCCAGGCCCTGTGGAGACCAACCCAAAGTGTCTGGTTCATTTTCCATCCTATTTCCATCCTGCCTCCCCTTTGTGCAGGACGGCTCTTACCTCCCTTGAAGAAAGGAGCCTGAAGGCGTAAAGAAACCAACTCTAGCCACTGGGTCTGGACTGCCCCTGGCCCTGCACACTCACAGCATCAGGCCCCCCTCAAGAATCCCAGAGGATGGACTGAGAGCCTCCCTCTCCAAAGTTCCCACTGGCCAAGGAAGCTGCACCAGCTCTGCACAGAGGCTGAGGGGGGCACCTGAAGGGGCCCTGTGTGCTCACCATGAAGCCTCCAGAACTCACAGTGGCCAGGATAACCACGTCCTTTAAAACTGAAGGAGCTCCACTCCAGGAGAGGGTGTCCAGTGACCTGAGTCTCAGAAGACCCACTACATCCCTGGGACCACATCTCAGTGGGGTGGTTGCCATGGTTCTAAAAGGGCTACTGGCCTGCCTCAGTTTACCTTGACCTCAGCCATCTTGGATCACAGTGGTGGGGCCAGCGTGGTCCTCAGCCAGGGCTATGACCACCTCCTCCTTAAGCTCTCCCTGATCCTCTGGGGCTAAGCGATCAACTGAATCCAAGTGCTGCCCAATCTCCTAGACACAACCTCAATCAAAACTCCTAGCTACCCCTGCAGCCCCAAGCACTCCCTCCACACCCCCAGAGGTGATCATCTAATACCCAAAAGCTGGAAGCCTAGACAAATTATTTTTTTCTTTTTTTTTTTTTTTTGAGGTGAGGATCATCAACATGCAGTACAGACTAGCTGTCCTGTGAGCAAAATATCAAGGTACTAGGTTGGCAGTACATCGATTTCAGTTTCAGAAGAAAGCAGCACTGTTTCCTGAGATTAGAGATTTAAATCAAGACAAGAGACAACCATGTTTTAACCCCAAAGCTGCCGGTTCCGTGGTAATCACTCTGCTTCCCTTAACTCCTCCTGATTTCGAAAGGCATTTCCAAGGCTCTGTTCGTGCCACCAGAACGGCCCAACATGGCACCTTTACAGACAGGGAATCCATAAATAATCTCATTATGGTGACGACAGTCTGCCTTTACTCATAACCCTGGCTTTAATCCTTCCCGCTTCTCTTTACCATTACTCTGGAGACAACTCTTAAAAAGCTTGCCTCCCCTAGAGCCTCGGGTGCATCTCCCCTTGCTAACTCGGGCGCCTGTGGGATCCACTGGCAGTGTGATCACTGATGATGGGCTGGGGGCTCCCTTCTGGGGAGCCACCTCCGCTCCTAACCCCAGGAAGCAACCCACGGGGCAGGGAACAGAGTGACGCAGAGTGAAACACACACTGTTCTCCATCTGAGCCTGTGCAGCAAGGGGCAAGTAAAAACCCCAAACCTCAAAACCAGCATTTTCCAGAACCCTTTATACCAATGGTTGGCAGACTGGGGCCCGCGGCCCACTCAGTACAGCCTGTGAATACAGATGCCCATTTGGTTACATATTGTCTATGACTGCCTTTGATGACATATGGCCTCTTGGCCCTTGAAGCCTAAAGTATTTACTATGCGGCCTTTTACAGAGAAAGTTGGTCGACCCCTCCTTTCTCCCAAATTATTTTCTTCTTTTAAATCTCTCTCTCTCTTTTTTTTTTAAGATTTTATTTGAGAGAGAGAGCATGAGCAGGGAGAAGGGGCAGAGGGAGAAGCAGACTTCCCGCTGAGTAGGGAGCCGGACGCGGGGCTCGATCCCAGGACCCTGAGATCATGACCTGAGCCGAAGGCAGACACTCAACCAAATAAGCCACCCAGGTGCCCCTAAATCTGTTGATTTCTAACCACAGGAAATCTGTACAATTTAGGAGACAGTCATGAAAAATCCCAGTGTGGAACTCTGGAACCATTCATCTGTAGCCCAGAATCAGAAACAAGTAGACGGTTTGGGTCATTTACTTTGGAATCCTACCTCCCAGAAGCGACCTACCAAGAAGCATCCGAAAGCTCCCAGTCCTTCCAAGAAGAAATTATAGTAAAAGAGACACAACTGGTAAAATTATCCCCCCGCCGCCCAAAGCAGCTGCTCATCAAAAACTACCAACATGTTACAATATCCCAATACTTTCTTTCCTGTCATATCCGGTCACACATTTTCCCTGCACACTTCTACCCATCTTTGTTATTTTTAAGGAAACGGTATCAACAGCTCTAGTTACTCCGAAAATGTTAGTAACGTCACTAAGTTTTTCAGTGAAGGCTGAGTGATCTAGGCAGGAAGTTCAATAGTCTTTATGTTCAATGCTCTGATTTTAATACCAGTAGGATGTTCCATTTGGGGATACTCTGTTCACATCGTGGGGGAAAGAAAAAAAAAGTGTTCAGTTAAAGAAGCAATAAGCGACCACCCCTTCCCCCCAGAAACATGAGGTAAGAGAATGGAAAATACTAGATTTCCTTTATATTGTGTGCCTACCCATGAATCTTCTGTGGGGGCTTGGAAAAGACACACAACATAAAACAAACACATGCGCTGTTGGTTGTTTTATACTCAGAACAGCACTGGATGTCGAACAACAATTTTCCTGCAACCATGAGCCATAGTTCCTGAATTACATGCAATTCCCATAGTTTTCTCTCTCAAAATGCCTATCCCGATACAACCAAGTGAGAGTTCTGACTGCAGCAAGTGGATCCACCCGAACTAGTTGATTAAAAAATAAATCATTCGCAAGCATCTCTGCTTTGGCTAGTATTAGTCACGTGACTGAGAAGCACCTCACAGCTGATCAAGGTACCCCAGTGTGGTCCCAAAAGGTCAGCTGTGAACCAATGTCCTGAATCCCAGCACCACCCACAGCAGCGGAGTCAGAGAGACGAGGAGAGAGCTCAGATCTGAGGTCTCAGAACAAGGCAGTGTTGTCTTCATTTTTCACATGAGTTTTCCTTGGCGTATTGTTAACCCGTTCTTTTGTTTTGTTTTGTTTTTTTAAAGATTTTACTTATTTTATTTGACAGAGAGTGAGAGAGCACAAGCAGGGGAAGCAGCAGAGGAAGAGGGAGAAGCAGGCTCCCCGCTGAGCACAGATTCCCGACGCGGGGCTTGATCCCAGGACCCTGGGATCATGACCTGAGCTGAAGGCAGACGCTTAACCAACGGAGCCACCCAGGCGCCCCAACACATTCTTTTGAAAAGATATTCAGAGCAGTGACAACAACAACATCTTTCCCTGCCTGTGTGCTGATACATGGGGCAGCCCTGGCAAGGACGTCCTCTCTCTCCCATGTAACGGGGTGGTGCCACTGGCCAGACGGACCTGGAAGGTTTTGTTTACTATTTGGGACATGTTGGTGGCTGGGGCAGGGAGACCGATTCAGGTAACTGTAATGAACTTAACATTAATAAACTGGGTCTTGAGAAAGAAATATTCTTATTTTGAAACTAAGCCTAGCTTCCCTCTCTGTGCTATCCCCTACCAACCCTGTTATTATTTTTTTTTTTTTTGAGAGAGAGAGAGAGAGAGAGAGAGAGAGAATCTTAAGCAGGCTCCACACCCAACACGGGGCTCGAGCTCACAACCCTGAGATCATGACCTGAGCTAAAATCAAGAGTCAGATGCTTAACTGATGAGCCACCCAGGCGCCCCACCCCTGTTCTGATACATACCAAAGGCTGCCAATTCTGGCTCCTTTTTCCACTTTCCCAGGGAGGCTGGCGGATTTGGCCATATCACCGTGGTGTGCAAAAGCAGGTCCCCCATGCTCAGATCTGCAACCTGAAAAGCAGGGACAGGGCAAACCTTAGCGAGTGGTGTTATAAACATACAGATTTTCACATTTTAAAATCTGGCAGGCTGATGTCAATCTTACCTCATGAAAATACTGTCTTTAAAAACATCTGGTCACTTTTTTTTCTCCCTTTATCCCACATTTGTCTACGAGAATTTCAAGAATAAAGTGGCAAAAGGTAGAAACTGGGGCCCCTCCAAATTCACAGACAGTAAATCTGTCAAAACTATCTCCAAAATTGGCAAAGGTCTGTGTTCAAATGGAGACAGGTGCCCAAGGAGAGACGAATGGCCATCATCACAGAGATCCACCCCAGAAAACTAGGCCTTTCCACCTGCGAGTTTAAGCCCCCTTGGAGTCAAGGTCTTTTCCCAGAAAACAGTGGAATCAATTATTTTTTCTTCTTCCAACTCTTTCTGAAGATTTCATTTCACTTTCGAGGAGGGAGAAGCCAACCGAGGAGTCTGAAGAGAGCTCTGCAAGGCTGTGCAGCCTGAGCTCTGGGATTCTCAGACGCTGTGAGGTCCAGTCGCACGGCCGGGAAGGTCAAGTGCCAGCCCATCCCAGTGAGTTCTGAGAGCCATCCAGACATGGTTCTGCAGTAATCCGGTGCCTACGCCTCTCGACAGCCCTGTCTGCCTTTCTCACCAGAGTCCGGGGCCCTCGTGCGAGCCCACCCGCGTCCCCTCCTACCCTCTCAGCAGCACACTCACTGGTGGGAGGATCATCTGGTGTCTCGACCTGCTCTCAGGGCAACCACATCAGAGAACAAGGCTTCATAACAATTAGAGACCACAGTCCACCCACCGATAAATACCATAAGCTGTCGGCAGGCTCTGCATCCGCAGAAATCAAGCTCAAGATATTTAAAACGTTGATGTAGGGGTGCCTGGGTGGCTCAGTCGTTAAGCGTCTGCCTTCGGCTCAGGTCATGATCCCAGGGTCCTGGGATTGAGTCCCGCATCGGGCTCCCTGCTAGGCAGGAAGCCTGCTTCTCCCTCTCCCACTCCCCCTGCTTGTGTTCCTGCTCTCACTCGCTCTCTTTCAAATAAATAAATAAAATCTTTAATAAATAAATAAATAAAATTAATAAAAATAAATAAATAAATAAATAAATAAAACGTTGGTGTTGAGCTTCTCAAAGACACATGGGGTCCGGTTCGTTCTGTTGCTTATGCTCTGACAGGGTTTCTAGATACAGTGGCGACTGAGCAACCCTCTGCTGAACCCAGGGCCATTTGGCATTGCTCTTCCTGAGTCACCAAGCCAGGCTACGATGCTGGGAATGTGCCTCCAGCAGTAAAAAGTACAGCGGTGTTGCTGCCACTGTCATGACTGGGGGTTCGTTAGGATAATTATTACTCTATTACTGACCTGTATTATTAGTAGTATAGCCAAGGGTAAAAAAAAAAAAAAATCTCAGCCATCATATTAGCTTGTCTGGACATATGAAGTAACTAGCCAACCAACCTCGCAGGACAGGATCAGCCAAGGAAACTATATAGTCTCTACCATCCGTGCCCCAAGCACCCACACAGCAGTGCTTATACACAGAAATCCAATTCCCAGGCAGCATTCTGGGCTCCAGCCTTAGGGGTACGTCTTTAAAAGTGATTAAAAGGTCGCTAGGGCAGATGGTTGTCCAAACTCTACTTCCTCCTTCCAACATGATTCTGGGTCTGCACCCTCTGCCATGTGATCTTTCTAGCACCTCCCACTAGACCAGGCAAATCCTTGATGACTCTGGGCTTGGCCATGTGCCCTGGGCCATGGACTTGGCATAACAAGTTTCCACCAGGCCTCCTGAGCTCCCCGCTTCCAGGCATGGAAAGGGCATGCCTAAGCCTAGTTGTGTTCAACGAGGACACACCTGAGCCTTACGCTCTGGAGCTCACCAAGAGAAGCCAAAGCTCAGCTAGCCCACACACCTGTGTTTGTGGTAGCAAACACGAAGATGTTGAGTTGTTTGTTACATTATGACAATGTACAGATCCAGTCCCAGCCCACATGGTTTCCCTCAAGTTTCCACATGGCAAATGGAATAAGGGGGTCAGGGCTGCCCCTTCAGCCAACAGTAAGTACCTCCCTTGGCCTTCCACTGGTTGACTTCTGAATCTTCCGCCCAAACTGCAACACTAAGTTCTGCTTTGGGGTCTGGGATGTCCTCCCACCCTGGGTCCTTTGAGCCCTTCTTCTGAGGGGAGATGCCCTTAGAAAGAGCCCTTGGCTTTCTTCCTCTTACCTAAGCAAAAGGAATGATCTATGTGGTCCAAACCAGCTCCCTAGGGTTTAACATGGAGTAGGAGGTTGAAGGCCCAGCTTCATCATACAGTGTTTCCTAACCAGCTTCGTTCTCTGTGAACATATCTACCTGCAGGAAAGTTGGCTGACGACAGGATCAGGTACCCCGTGTCCCTGGAATGTTACCAATTTCAACAGTGGCCTACCTTTCTCAACAGATACTGAAAAATATTCCTATTCGTAACTGTTTACAAACTGTTAATAAAGCCATTCTAGGTTTTTACTGGATATTGGCATTAAAAGGGAACGACAATGGCCAGGAATCACTTTTGTGAGAATTGTGGAAATTGAGTCCTTCTCTCCCTGAGTGATCAATCATCTTTGGCTACGATACCTCTGCCCCACTTTGGGAGCCTGTTTCTTCCTTATTCTTCTTCTTACAATGTTAAAACACAGTATCTTGTTGCTGTCTCTGGCATCTTTTCTTTTTTTTTTTTAAGATTTTTATTTATTTATTTGACAGACAGAGGCATAGCAAGAGAGGGAACACAAGCAGGGGTGCTGAGAGAGGGAGAAGCAGGCTTCCCGCCGAGCAGGGAGCCCGATGCGGGGCTCGATCCCAGGACCCTGGGATCATGACCTGAGCCAAAGGCAGACGCTTAACAGCTGAGCCACCCAGATGCCCCTCTGGCATCTTTTCTAAGCCTTGATCTTCCTGGGCTTTGGACATCGGAATACTGAGATAGGATTCTCCTTCTCTTTAACACTGGTATGCAGTCAAATGTCCCTCCTTCCATTCCCTCCATTTTTTGCACATTTCTCTTTACAAAATCTCAGCTCACAGGAGGCTATTTTGTACAGCACTTTGTCTCTTTGTTCCTCGCTGGAAAGATTTCTCACTTGATTGTCAGAATTTCATTTCAGAGGACGGGCAGTTTCACCAAAGCCAAGTCCCTTTGTACAGTCCCTGACTTTTGAATCATATTCATCTTTTTTTCTAAATGCTTTGCAATCCACGGTGCACGTCATCTTCTAGTCTTTAGCATAATGGTCCTTTGCTCCCAAGGTCATTAAAATCCAGAAACTAGTTTGGCAGATAACGAACAATATAATGAAATTTAATGAAAATGTTCATTTCCAAGACTCAATAAAATTCACTTCTGTCAAAATGAAATAAACTAAAATATAGGAGGGAGAAGTGTTATGACAAAAAAATGTCTGCAGGATTACTCACGGTAGTCAATAAATGAAGCCAAGAGAATTGTCCAATGATAGGAATTAAGTAAGTCACTGTTCAGCCACACAATGAAATATTACACAATCATTTAAATGATTCTTTTGAATAATTTAAAATAACATAAAAAGCAAGGCATAACATAACTTTCAAAATATAATTATTCAAGCATGTGCAGATACATAACTTTTTTAATCAAAATAAACACCCAGACATTAAGAGTGGTAAGTTCTTTGAGATGGAGAATGGTTTTTCTTCTTGCCTTTTTTTTGTTGTTTTGCCCTTTCATAAGCATACTATGCTTTTCTTCTTACAAAAGTTTTATGAAAAAAAAAATGAGAACTAAATCCAGAGTCGCGGCGCCCACCTCTCCTATGCTCTTGACTGACTGAATTATCTGCCAGGTAGATTCAGAGCATGCTCATGCTGTGCTTGCCACCCCAGTAGAAAAAATAAATTGTGTTTCAGCGGAAAACGATGCTCCCAGGCTGTGAGACTCCAGACCACGTGGAGGTCTCCGAGCGCCTCTGCAACTCTCTGGAAAGTGCAGACAGCGGGTGTCCTGTCAGGCACCAACCTGACCAACTTCCCCCCATTATGGAGAAACCAGAGTGCCTCCATTTGCAAATCCGTGCAATATTTCTTCACTTCATATACACACCTGTGCCATTCCGACCTTTCCAATAAACCCTTACGACATCTGCCTGCCTCCCTCCGATCACGCGAGTAAAATAAATGTCTTAGTATGTGTTTGCTTTTACGTCTATAGGAGATGCCAAAATTTTAGCTCTTTCTGAAAGTTACCTTTTAGCAGTCTGAAAACTTGCTTCGTTTCCCTGAGGGCATAACAAGGAACCTGGATAGGAACCTGTATACCTCAAAGATGAGGCTAGTTTTCTCAGCTAGACTCAACAACTGAGCTTCCCCGCCCCCTTGCCTTGAACTCTCCCCTTCACCCCAGCAGGAGTGATTTTTCTGCCTGGTTCCCTCCTGGCTTTTCCCCTTTATTTTATTTTATTTTTTTTTTAAGGCAGAAAGCAAAACCGAGGCGAATATTCCAGTTTAATGTCCAGAGGTAGTGATGAATGTTATCACACACCTATAGCCCTCTGATTCATCTCAGTATTACCAGAATTTTTATTTGCATAAGCTCTTCTCAATGACTTGGGCACTACTTAGAGTTTGCTGTAAGTTTTTCTCAGGTGTATCTGTTCCTGTCACTGTTTCTTCTAAGGAGGTTTTTTTAGATAGACTTAAAAATATATATATTTATTAGAGTCATTCGAAACTTTCATTCATTCAGCAAATATTGACTGAGAGGACCCACTATATGCCAAGCGTTATTCTGATTTCCAGGGATGTAGCTCTGACCTTTTATGGTGCTTACAGAAGCCGCCCAAGCTATGTTTGGAAGTTCAGGCTCACACTGAACAGAACAAAACCAGAAGTCCCAAGGGGGATGGGGCGAGACTCAGAAACACAGTTCCTATATTAAGAAATAACTCCGCTGAGGAAGAAAATTCACCTGCAGCCTTGGATAAAGGATAAAAGTTCCACCAACAGAAATAATAGCTTCGTAACTATCTTACTTATAAATACCACCTTCAAAAAACCACAAAACCAACCCAGCTTCGCTGCCGGGTGTCCTGAGAAGTTGGCATCCTTACCTCTTTTTTTTCACCAGTCTGCTCCGCAATGAGCTGGTCAAACACAGCCCCAAATTCTTCATGAATTTTCTGCATTTCATTGATATGACTTGCAACCTTGTTCATAGTCTTGATGGCCACTGGAAGAAAATGGGCAGGAAACGGAAAGGCTGTTTGGAGGCTCTCGTGGGGACGTGCGCGAGGGGGGCAGATTTTGGGGCCCGGGGCTCACCATCCAGATGGTAGTGTTCCTCACTCTCTGCATCTGTCAGGGCAAAGAGCTCCTTTAGCAGAAGCGGGTACTTGAGGATCCTCTGGATGGGCTTGATGAGGTAAGACTCGAGAGTGGCGGAGTGCTGTTGTTTTGGGTTCTGGGCGTCTAAGAACGCCTTGAAAGCCGGGTCCGTCTTGGCTGGGAGAGAATAAGAAACGCAGACTGTCAGGGCGGAACCCTGAAATGTCCCCCTCCTCACAATCCCCCTCACTATTCCAAGGCGCCCTTCCCCAGGACTGAGAGGAAGAAGGAAGGTGGGGGCCGCAGAGAGACAACTGGAGGGGCCCGTGGTATTTATTTGGGGGCAATAACGGGGGTTTGAGTAAAGGGATAAGAGGGTTTGTAAATCCTACACACTGGGGTTCTCAGGGGTTGCTGTTAATCCTCGTTGTACTAAGAGTGTCTTTGCATTCTGCTATTTTGACATTTGGGGCCTTACAGACCCTGGGGACTGCCCCTCCCAGGGCTAGCCAATTCCTAGAGGTGCTAAAGGACTCACCTGGGAGCACACCTTTCATATGCAAACCAACCAATCTGGAGCCCCCTACACCCTGTAGTTACCCCTTCTAGAGGGCTCTCTCACTCTGGACCACTGTTTCCCTGCCCTACTCGCCTCAGGGCCAGGTACCAGACAACCGGGGCCAGCCCCGATATCCCAGAGTCCACTGAAATGACCCAATCCTAAAAGTCTGCTTACCCCGCCTTGCTCCTGCCTCTTCTCAGCAACCACAATAAAGTTGCCCCCGTCTCCCCCTGGCTCCTTCTGCTTCCTGACTGGCCCTGGCACTTCCCCGTGGGGGCCCGTGAGGCACCACGTCATGCCCCTTCCTCTTGGGAGCTGCGAGGAACAAACTGTCTTTTCAATGGCAATTGTCGTCTGATCTGTTGGCATTGCCATATCTGAATCATCGGAAAGCCCGCATTTTAAAACACTCTTTACCCTGGTTTTCTCTGCCTTTCAAGCCTTTCATTGCTGGTGGGGCCTTTGTTTGAGAAAAGATAGGAGGGGGGGGAAAAAAAGCACAAACCAGAAGCAGCACTGTTCTGCAGCTCTGGGAAGTGGGGCAGGGCTGCATCTCCCCCAGAGAATGCCTTTTCAGATCTGTTCTATGTTAATTCAGTGCTACCAGCTATTAGCATCTGTAGGGCAGGACCTCCTGCCCAGGACTGCAGAGTTCTTGCCCAGAGAAACGTACATCTGACCTCATATAACTCAGGGAGCTCTCTCCTTACCAGCCTGGTTTTTATGGGTGTCCCAGCTGGGCTGAAAAGCAGCCCTGGGGAGTTGTGGGTCCCCAGACAAGCAGAGAGGTACCCACCAGTGGGTAATTAGGAAGACAAGGCTAATTAATGCCTTCCAGGTGCAAAGAAATGGTGGAGAAGAGAGTGAGCGCAAAAAATGGGCGGCGGGGCAGCGGGGGGAGGACATTATATCAAAGTGACTGAATGGTGGGCCTATGTGTTTTAAAAAGCTTCTAATAAAAACATATTTCCAGGGTGCCTGGGTGGCTCAGTTGGTTAAGCAACTGCCTTCGGCTCAGGTCACGATCCTGGAGTCCCGGGATCGAGTCCCACATCGGACTTCCTGCTCAGCGGGGAGTCTGCTTCTCCCTCTGACCCTCTTCCCTCTCGTGCTTTCTATCTCTCATTCTCTCTCTCTCTCTCAAATAAATAAATAAAATCTTTAAAAAAAAAAAAACAAAACATATTTCCATCTCCGGGGATGAGCAGTATGAGCAAAGACCAGAAGATGTGGTAAAAGGACATCATGAATTGTAAAATGACTATTTTAAACAGCAATCATGTGAGGGTGGCTTCATAAAGACCACAATCGTTTCATCCCCGTTAAGCCCCATTCAGAGGAATCAGACTCCAGGGGTTCAGCCACCATTTCTCTTCCTTTCAAAGAAGAAATCTGTAAAGAGAAAGGACACTGGGAATGAATGGCCTATGCATCAGGGAAGCGAGGCCGATGCACGGGGACACCGTGGCTTCCATAGGACATCCCAAGTACGCGTCCACATCTACCAGGGGCATAGAAATCCGCCCACAATCCGCAAGCCCCAAAATACGGCCACGGGCATTTAATCCATCAGCCATGTTTCACGTCAGAACTAAAGAGGGCACGGTTCTTGGCTCCTTGTGAGCTAAAGGAGTGTCCCTCCCATCCAGCCTCGCCGTGAGCCTAAGAGTCAGAGACGGGTACTTTCTGTTCTCAAAGAGTTCTCTTCACCCTCTTGGCACATCTAGCCATTAGAAAAATGTAAGTCATGCCTCATCTTTTCAGGGATCGTTTGGAAAGACACGATACTAATTTTCACATGCAAAAAAACAATGTTATTGAATTAAGGAAAACCTACAGGGGCAGACTTTAATTGAGTGAATAAAAATAACGCAACTTGCTCTAAGGACTGTAACGTGTATATAATTTTACAGTAGAGCAAAGTGCTCTGAAGTTGTTACATTAACAATCTCGTAACTATTGGCATTCAGTTAAAGTTAAAAAAAGATACGCGTACACAGAGCGATAGGACCAATACAGCACATGAGAAGACACCGTCTAGGCCAGACAACAAGGAGATTCCCAGGTGCCCTTTAAATTTCTGGGCTGAAGTAGATTCTGTTGCATGATATCTCTGCCAGTAAGTATGTCATTATCTGGGGCAGGCTTTTCTGTTATCCAGAGACCTGCGTTGTACTAATATTTCCTTAATAGGTTTTAAATTAAGTCAAGCTCATTCTCTCTGGCAGGAAAGCCTAACATGTATAAATTATTTAGGTATCCAGATACTGGATCAGCAGCTGTGCACATGGCAGCCACGGGGAAGTGTTAAGACCGAGCAGCCTGTTTTCCAGAGGTTCTCTGTAATCAAACTTTCTACCGGTTATACTGTTTCCCAGGAAATTGTTGCTGTTGTTTTTTTAAATCCTTTTACCTATTACCAACATCACATGCCGAACCAGGAAGCAAAACAGCTTTCTGGAGACTCTCAGAATGATCCATCAGCTGCCCAGAACACTGAGGGAAAGGAGCCTGCCAATTTAAAGCTCCACTCTGTTCCATGCAAAATATAACCGCGAGTCGAGGGATTCTCGTGAACAATGGAAACAACTTTAGTAGTGCCGGGGGTGGCTATTATCACACGCCTAGAAACAAAAATAGGTGAGGGGGAGATGGAATGCCACCAAAAGGTATATGAAGTGTGCAAGGTTTTAAGGAAACGAGTGAAAATTAGGAATAAAGCAGGGAATTTCTAAAGCCCCCCCCGTTTTTGCATAATTACAAAATGACCCCTTAATTCTGGCCCCAAATAGCTGAGTCAAAACTTGCATTATAAGAAAACTAACAAGGGGCGTCTGGGTAGCTCAGTCGGTTAAGTGTCTGCCTTGGGCTCAGGTCATGATCCCAGGGTCCTGGGATCAAGCCCCGCATCGGGCTCCCTGCTCAGCAGGGAGTCTGCTTCTCCCTCTGCCTCTGCCCCCCCGGCTTGTGCTCTCTCTCTCAAATAAATAAAATCTTTAAAAATAAACATATAAATAAATAAGAAAACTGACAAGACGGTTAATTCAAGATATCAGGCTGCGTGGCTGGCCCAGTCAGTACAGCGTGTGCCTCTTGATCTCGGGGATTATGAGTTTGAGCCCCACGTTGGGCACAGAGTTTAATTAAAAAAAAAAAAAGGTGCACATTTCACTTCTCAGTACCCTTATCTGAGGAACGTCTATCTGGCACATCAACGACTCTTGGATTTCTGCCCAAATGCCCCTGACCGCCGCCAGCCATACCAGTGTGAACCTACAACAGATATGCCCACCTACCTTTCACCAGGACCTTGGGAACCTTCGTGTGGCTGGCGCAGAAGGCACTGTAGAGCTTGAAGCGGTCAGCATAATACAGAAAGGATCCCCCCAGAGAGAACAGCACTTTCTGGATTTAACAAGAAAAACCACAGTTAGTTCATGTTCATCTTCACCTGGAAAGATCAGCAGGACCCAGAGGGAGCTCATATCTGCCTGATCCTCCCCACAAATCAGCACCAGTCACACCTGTCACAGCCCTCGCTCTGCTCACCGATGGTCTGAAACTGCCTATTGGAAAGGGTACGGGCTTACGTGTTCGCATGCTCGGTGCCTGAGCTGGCCTTCTCGCTAATTACACCAGCGATGTCCCTGCTTTTCCAGCCTTGGGTCTTTAAATGCCCCAGCTGGGATGTGTGAATGTTAATGAGAAAATACCGATGGCATTTTGGAAAAGGCGGACTGCTCCTGCAATCTCTCATTAGCTCCTGTTGGGAGGTCGAAGTGACACACCAAATAGAGGCAGGAAATGCATACACCCCAAAAATAGAAGACACGCATCCCTGGTCACTAACTCCGTCCTCTGCAACATGGCTCCCTCTCCTAGCACAGAGCAGGTGAAGATGCAAGAAACACGCGGACTCTGGGAGTGAGTTCGGTATCCTATCCCAGCCCACACCCTCTGCCTCAAAAGGATCAAAACTGGGGGAAGGCCTTCCCTATTAGAATTTAATACGCCTTGGGGATGCCTGGGTGGCTCAGTCAGTTGAATGGCTGACTCTTGATTTCAGCTCAGGTCACGATCTCAGGGTCCTGGGATGCAGCCCAGCGTCAGGCTTCCTGCTCAGTGGAAAGTCTGCTTGAGATTCTCTCTCTCTCCCTCTGTTCCTGTTTGCACTTACTCTCTCTCTCTTTCTCTCTCAAATAAAAAAAAAAATAAATCTTAAAAAAACAGAATTCAAAAAATTTTAAAAAATTAAAAAACCCATGGCTAAGGATACTCTGTATCCTAAACGTTTTACATACATATATGTATATATACCCAAATATATATACAAGTCTAAGAAAAATATCTTCTATATGTTCCACACTGATCTAGTCTTGTTCAGAGAGAGAGAGAGAACGCGACTGCTTAATTCAGGGTTAGAATCAAAAGTGAGGTTCCAAGAAAAAAAAAAGTTTTGGATTTCAATGTGTAGTTTATCTAACAAACAATGCACAGAATTCTGATAGACTGTCTACTAACAACAAAAAGTTTATTTGGAACCGCCCAGAATGTCTAACTAGAGACCTACCTTAGTTTCTTACACGTTCTACTTCTCTTCTCCCTCTCAAGCCCCACCCTCTCCCAACCCCGCCACCCCGGCTGACAGGGTCCCAGCGGGGACAGTCTGACTCTGCAGGCGCAGTTATCCTTTGAGACGTACTCAGTAATTAGACAAGAAAAGATGAGGAAGAGAAAGCTCTAACTGTAACCCCTCACATTAACCATATTAGGTCATTTGTTTAACTTACCATACAGGCAGCCACAGATAAAACATTAAGGGATTCATTTATTCTTCTGGCCTTAACAAATGCTCTCAGGGCACAAAGTGCACACAGGTATAAGGCTTTATACACAAAAGAATGCATTTGCCCAACGCTGCCCTTCCAGAGAATGTCACAGAGCCTCCCACTGACTGACGGACATTGCAAATTTCCGAGAGGATATTTTATCAAAGCTTGTTTGACCTCAGAACTAAATTTTTTCTAATACTGCCTTAGGACTAGTGTTCTAGGCAATGCAATTTGAATATTTTTATTTATTTGTCAGAGAGAGGGAGAGACAGAAAGAGGCAGACAGAGAGAGAAGCAGGCTCCCCACTGAGCAAGGAGCCCGACACAGGTCTTGATCCCAGGACCCTGAGATCATGACCTGAGTTGAAGGCAGACGCGTCACTGACTGAGCCACCCAGCCATCCCACGGTTTGAATATTTTAACAAGCTTTTCATATTTTTGGCCAAATATACAGTCAGGATTTAAACCAAGTAGCAATGGCGCAACTGACGGCAATAGTTTTGGGAGCAAACACAGACAATCCAGAAGCCAACTCAAAGGTGCTAGAGACAAGCCCCTGGGCCATGAATATTCAGTATGCACAGGTTGTCTTGCTTTACTGACAGAATGGAGATTGTCAAGTGTTGCCATAAACCAGGACAGTGAAGGTCAGGGAAGAGAGTCCCACTTGAAGGGAACTTAGAACAGTGACCATTTAGCAACAGCTCACTGAAAGAATCCATGGACCAATCCCTCCTAGAACAACTCTGCTCATAATGCAGCCATGTCCACATCAAGTTCTGTCCACCTACCTCTCCTCAAGCGATTAACCAGACCTAAACCCACACAACTGGCCCCACAGCAAGAGACTAAGTGAATATAATCAATGTTAGATGTCCTACAGTAAAACCAAGTGTTGTGGGGCACCTGGGTGGCTCAGTCGGTTAAGCGTCTGCCTTCGGCTCAGGTCCTGATCTCAGGGTCCTGGGATCGAGCCCCTTGTCAGGCTCCCTGCTCAGTGGAGAGTCTGCTTCTTGCCCTCCCTTTCCCCTCCCCCTGCTTGTTTTCTCTCTCTCTCTCTCAAATAAAATCTTAAAAAACAAAAAAAGTGTTTTAAGGAATGTCTGTATCCATTTTTTTTTAATTTTTTAAAAATTTTTTTAAGATTTTATTTATTTGGGAGAGAGAATGAGAGAGAAAGAGCACATGAGAGGGGGAGGGTAGAGGGAGAAGCAGACTCCCCGCTGAGCAGGGAGCCTGATGCGGGACTCAATCCGGGGACTCCAGGATCATAACCCGAGCCGAAGGCAGCTGCTTAACCAACCGAGCCACCCAGGCGCCTTGTCTGTATCCATTTTAACTATGATCCTCACTAAGCAAATTTCTGATTAACAAATAACTGGCCCTTGTCATGAGTTCTAACTGTCCTAATGAATGTACTAATTTAGAAAATACATGTTATCATTACAAACACAAACAAACAAACCAAACTATTTCAAATGGACCGCATGACCACCTTGAAGATGACGAGGGGAGAAAATTAACTCAGCTAAGCAGCATTTGAACCCACAAAAAATGAAATGTATGCAGTAATTAGGGTTAAAGGGGTATTATGCCTGCAACTAAACTCTTCAACGGTTCAAGGAAAAAAATTACATTACACACACACACACACACACACACCCCGGAGACAGGAAAGAATAAAGGAAATGTGGTCAAATGTTCACATTTGGGAAATCTGGGTGAAGGATATCCAGAAATTCTTCAGGCTATTCTTGCAACCTTCCCATAAGTCTCAAATTATCTCCAAATAAAAATATGTAAGTATATATAAATATATATTCTTATGCTAAGTGTATGAACGTGGGTGTGTATACTGAATAACTTCAGTTGCAGAGAAGCAGTGACATACAAAAACATATATAGAAAGAGCAGCCTTCACCCTAGTCCCTAAACGTGTATGCTAATAGCACTCAGCCAGATTTCTGCAAGCTCTAGAGAGGTCGAAGTATATGCGGGCCCCGCATATACAGACAACTGAACCTAAGTCCAACATCACTGTGAAATTAATACAGTGGTGGATAGAAGGATAGTCATTTTAGCAAACAGCACTAGAAAAATCAGACATTCGTATGGAAAAAAGATGACTTTGATTCCAACTTCATACCCTAACGAATTTAATGCACAACAGATCAGAGACTAAAATGCACATGCCCAACCTACAAAGCTTCTGGGAGAAAAAAGGAGAAAATCATTAGGACCCAAGTTTAGGCAAAAATTTCAGACATGACACAAAAAAGCATGACCCAAAAAAGAAAAGACTTGAAAAACTGGACTTCATCAAAATTTAAAATTTCAGATCTTTGAAAGACACTGTACGACAAGAAGATATTTACAAATCCTGGTTCTGGTAAAGGACTTAGAGTTAGAATATACAAAGAACTCTCAAGTCTCATAGTAAGAAAACAACCAACCAATACAGTCAATGGGCAAATGATTTGAACAGATGTTTCACCAAAGAGGATATATTTAAGGCAAATTAGCACATAAGATGCTCGTTGTCGTGTCATAAGGGAAATTAAAATGAAAGATACAATGAGGTGCCACTATATACCCATTAGAATGTCTAAAATTATAAAAAGGGACCATGACCTCCTCATGAAGAGCTGCTGGTGGGAACGTGCGCTGGTATAACCATGTGATCCAACCGTCCCACTCCTAGATATTTGGCCAAAAGAAAGCAGATATCCATACTAACATTTATACACAAATCTGCATAGCAGCTTTACTCGTAATTGCCCCAAACCGGAAACGACCCAAATGCCCAGGAAAGGTGAAAGGGCCACAAAGCGTACTACCCCCGTATGGTGGGATACCACAGAGCCATAGATTGGTATCTGCAGCCACGTGCATGGAACGTGACATGATTACACCAAGTAAAGGATGCCACATTAAAAAAAAAAAGTATATGCTGTATAAGATTCCAGAATGCAAATGAACCTAACTAATCTATGGTAACAAAGAGCAGGGAAAAACCTTCAAGGGCTGCTGCTGATGCTCATTATCCTGACTGTGGTGATGGTTTCACAGGTGTATACATATGGCAAGATTCATCACACTGTACAATGTGAATAGATGCAGCGTATTGTATGTCAATTACACTTGAATTAATCTGTTGGTATTTTTTTTAACCTTTACGAGAAGCCAACACCACTGTGCGTGAATCGATGAGCTCTGTCGTTTGGAGGTGCAGCACAGGAAGTATCTGTAATAGCGGAGAGCCAGCCAAGGAGGGGGAAATAAGCTGTAAGCATCCTCACTGAGGTACTAGTCATAAATCCTCATTAAGGCTATAAGGACACTGTGTGCTGGAAGACTGTCCTCCTCCTGGATCATGATAAGCATTTCCATTAAGCAAAGTTTTCCAGAACATGATAAATTAACTTGTTTACTGGGAAACCAAGGGTGTTAGTCTCATTTGCTAATAGCAAGTGTTAAAGGGCCCCATGTCAACAGAACAAAAGGTCAAGGTTGGTCTATCTTCCAGAGTGGAAGCCAGCAGGAGCACCAGTTTCATACAAGTTGATGGCACTGGTGTCACCTCAGCTAGACAAGGTTCCCCGTCTCAGAATCCCCTTGGGAACTGACCCCACTGGAGGTCCAATGAAGACTCAACACCACGAGCACAAGAATGTACCAAAGAGATCCTATGCCTCTTGTGATGTGTTCTCAAAAGGTTCCACTTAACCTACAGAATAACCCACCCATGACAGGAGGAGGCAGCCTGACATCATTGGTGGACTTACCTTGAATTGATCAACTTTCTCAAGCTTTTCCAAATCGGGTACCAGTCTCACTCCATCTTCTAGAGTTTTCAGAAATTCTACTTGAAACTCTACCATTTCGGTTAGATTTCCAAAGAGCACATCAAGCTGGAAAATGAAAAAGAATTTAAGCCACCCATATTTCATTGGTGTTCAGAAACTTTATCTGCTTCTGATTTCAAAGTTTTTCTATCAATACTTATCATTTAAGATCATGAGCCCACCATGAGGTGGGGGGGTTGGGGCAGGGAGTGGGGCCGCTCCTTACTCTCCAGGTGCAAGCCAAGAGCATTAACTTGCAATCATTTAATTCACTCCAAATGTTTTCAGTACTAATGTGTGCCTCACTCCTTCCTCTTCACCAAGTCAAGATGCAGTATAACTCATGTCCACCATACCTCATCTTGGGTGAGGAAAGTTTCTTTTTGAAGAGGTTTTAGGTATCTCTCCATGAGACAGTTTAAGTCCTAAGGGTTGAAAGGATATCTCATTAGCACATCTAAAAGCCTAGAAGGAATCTAAAGGAGAAAAAAACAGATTATATCGCAAATGCTAACATTACAGTCTTTAGGTCATTAAGTTCCCTTAAAGCAGGAGTGAGCCCACCTTTTTGGTAATATTTTCGACTCCGCAGGCTATGTGGTCTCTCTCACAACTACGTAACTCTGCAGCTGTAACAGGAAAGCTGCTTCCTGTTACGGCAGCACAGACAATACGTAAATGAATGTGTGTAGCTGTGTTCCAATAAAACTTTATTTGTCAAAACAGGCAGAGGGCTGGATCTGGCCTAAGGGCCATAATTTGCTGACTCCTGAGTTAAAGACTAAAATAGATCATTAAAAACAGATCACACTGTTGTGACATTTAACTAACTATATAGTTACAGGAATAGGTAATTACTACAGTCATAGGAGTGTATTACAATGTATGTATTGTAACATATGTACAGTGCATACATTGTTATATGTATTACACAGACATTAAGAATTATATAGGAATAAATTATATAATTACAGGAATATAACTAAATGTCCGAACACAAGTGAGAATAAAAAGAAAACAGATACCCTTCTGCCTAGACTCAAATTAGATACCGAAAACAATACCTTTAAATCTTTCAAAAACTAAATTCAATTTTAGTATTAGCTCAACAATAGATTTAGAAAGGTCAGAAGGCTCACTGCATATTCACCATCATCTCCTTTCTCGATCGATCAATTACACATGTCAACGAAACGCTCTAAGATTTGAGGTGCTTCCTTAAGATGCAGGAGATCTGAACATTCAGAAGGCCAGATTCCACAGGAGACCAAACACAGTGTAAACTCACAAAGCCCCTCCTTCAAAACAAGGAGGGAAGGCATGCCAGGCGGGAAGGGAGAGTAGACCAGCAGGACGTACTTTCACGTAGGTGCGCTCTGTCTCCAAGAGCTCGCAGATCACCTTGCGCAGCTTGTCAGCGTCCGTGAGCTGCCTCATGGTGGCCAGCTGAGGCCCGGTGGCGTCCTGAGGAGATGGGCTCAGCTCAGAGGGGTTCATCTCATGCAGACTGCGGCAAAATGCGGCCACCTGTTCCGTGCTCTTCGGAGCACAGTTTAAAAGGCAAGGTAGATGAAGTTACCTCTCACAAGAGAGACCTGTCTGACATCTGTTCCGCCTAAAGGTGTCCTTCCTGGTTAATGAACTGACACACGTGAATTACATCTCTCCTTCCCCCGACTGCTCTACACATAGGAGAGCTCACTGAATGCTCAAAACACCCATAACGACAATTGCTAACATATTCCGAGGGCTCACCACATGCCAGGCTTTGGTCTGATGTATTTAATCCTCCCATATGGTAAGTAAGGGCTGTTAGCATTCCTGTGAAACAGTTGACACAAAGGAGGCCCAGAGAGGTTAAGTAACTCATCTGAGATTGCACAGCTCAAAAACGGCAGAGCTGGGATTTGAACCAGGCAGAGTGGATCAAAGCCTGTGTTCATAACTACTCCGCACGAAGCTTACAAATAAGGAGACGGAGATACAGAAAAATTAAACGCATTTCACCCCAAATACAAGGCTAATTATCACGGCCCCCACTTAAGTAAACTATACTTACTTTGCAATGGCGGAAGATGATTTTATAAGCTAAGATTCTTTCTGGCTCTGTTAAAAACTGGCCCTAAGGCAACTTTCTAGATAATGATAGATACCCATATATTTTAAGAAAAAAAAAAAAAAAGTTCGTCTTTCCGGCTTCTCCAAGCAGAAAGACACCTCTCCTCTCTTTCAAAATAAAGGCTGTTGGGCCCTGAACAAGGCTTCAGTGGGGGAGCTCAGCCTCCACCTAATCTCTGTCCAGGATGATTCAGGTAGAAGTTTAGGGTTCTAGGATTCTAAAATTGCAACTTTTCCAGTTATGCAAAAGAGTTCTCCAAAGAATGGGTGGCAGGCGGGTTGCTGAAAACCCCATGGACTTAGTACTTGAGCTTGAGTACTTGAGCTGCATATAGCAATCACCTGATGAGCATGCCCAGCGCACCCTCCAGATCAATTCAATCAGGACCTCCAGGATGGGATAAGTCAGCGTATTATTTAAAGCTCTTGCTGGAATGCCTCCAGAGGCTATTTTGTAGCACAAAATCTAGTTTGTTAATATTTGCCCAGATGTACCACTCTACGAATGTTCGCTGGATAGCTCCTTGAAGGTAGGCTGCCTGCCCATCCTCCTCTCCCTGGCTTCCACCGTCTAATTCATCCCTAAGCCCAGAGTATTCCCAGCAAACACGGGTGCAAATAAAGAATTACTTCTATCACCCACCTACCCAGGAAGAACATGAGAAGAACATCCTCCCCAAAACAGCAGTTGCTGCCCAGAGCTGAAACTCAAGGCTGGCATTTGGTGCTGGGCAGAGGAGCTAAAACCAAGGGTATTCCATGGGGGCAATCCCTTAAACACAGGGGAAAAAGGCAGCCAACATTAACATGCCTTCCCCTCACTGGCATTATCCCAAAGGGAAGGGAGCCTGGAACAAAGGCAGTACAAGTACATGGGAAATCAGAACCTAACAAGGATGCATTCATAACAATGCCATGACAGCAAGGAGGAGAGCCAGGACCCAAACCCACATAATGATTATTTCTTTGGGTTTTTCTTTTTTTTAAGATTTATTTATTTATGGGGGGAGGGGCAGAGAGCGGGAGAGAGAGTCTCAAGCAGCGTGGAGTCTGACGCGGGGCTCAATCCCAGGACCCTGAGATCACGACCGAAGTGAAAACCAACAGTAGGATGCTCAACCAACTGCGCCACCCAGGCGCCCCTATTTCAATTCTCTTACAATGACCACAGCTTATATGGTGCTAGCACTAACCCTAGTCTTATGTTCCAGAAGGTATTAGGCACCTCTCAGGGGCACTGTTCACCGTTGTCCATGGATTCAGTGTTCCAGACATTGTATATCCCCACAAAGAATTCTCCCTTCATTGGCTAACAAGAACGCTCACCAAAATGGGCTGAACTGCATGATATGTGAATTATATCTCAATAAGGCTGTTAAGAAAGAATTCCATCAAAGCTTATTTCTGTAGAAATCAACTAAACAGTTTTATTTCGTTATGTTAGTATTTTACTAGTTTGTCATTCTTAAACATCCAGTTAAATATGGCTTTGTCTTACAAATTCCACAGGAACGAAAGACCCGTGACCCGTCATAACAAAAATGCTCACACATCTTTTAAATGATCCAGTGATAACTATAATGGGCCACTGCATAACATAGACACGATGGGGGGGAGGTTTACCCTCAACAGAACTAAAATCCTGTGGATAGCCGATGAGAACGACTGACAACTAACGGCCCTGCCCCCCAGCTTTGTCCGACTGTCCTTTATTGCTTCGATTCGGCATCCTGCAAAGGAACCAACACAACAAACGTCTAACAGGCACCTTCCCTTACACAATGCTCTTCTCATTGGCCCAACAGTAACCACAGCTGTCTGTCACACATCTGCAGATTAACCTCAAAGCGACTCCTCATGATAAGTAAATCTATCGCTTCATTCCTATCAGTGATGCAATATGCCTTTCTACGATTTTATCGTTTTGACAAGTTGCCATGGGAAATCCAATGTCCTCGTGGAGTACACAAAGGGTGTCCCATACTTCCAGGATGGGCCAAAGTTACAACCTGGGGACTCAGGCACATAGCAAAGGCAGGAAATGCCACAAGATGCTTCTCTTTGTGCTCCTAATATTCATCACACTGACCTGTTGCCATTCTCACCTGTATCTGTGTATAATAGTGGAAGGTATGGGATGGACTTTCTAGGTTTTCATTCTCTCTGTTTCACCATCAGGGCTCTGAGGTTTCCATTTTTAAGAGTGTGAGTTTCTGACTTTGTATGAAGTTCACCACTTCTAAGGTCTGGCATCCTTATGTTAAGCAGGCCCAAGGGGAGAGCTAAAGGTTAGTGGGATGTGGGCTAGGGCTTTAGTGCTCAAAACCTATGCCATAGACCTAAAGCCATGTCCTACCCAACTTCATTCCCAAACACCCAGCCTGCTCATCTTTCTCCCTCTCTGAGCCAAGTTCTGGGAGTGTAGGGAAAAAGCATCCTATAATTGAGCATCCCAGGGACACCCCCAAATTCCCTGAAATCCTCTTCTGAGAGTTCAAAGCCTTAGGCATCCCTTCCTTATTAGACACAATCCTAAACTTAGGATAAATTTAGCCAGGTGCTCTCTTACATGGAGGCGGGGCAAAGCAGTCTCAACACGGGCAACCCTGTTCTCTGATTCAAGGTATAAATGCTCCAAGGAACATGCATAGCATCTCAGCAGGGATGTAATCTCTTCACTTTCAATTTCATGTTATTTAAATAAAGAATAAAAAGATAGAATTCCAAGTTACAATGCATACTGTCACAGCATGTTTTGCAAGGCTCTTAATGAAATTTTTACTTGGAAACCATTAAAATGATGTCATCAAGTTTGAGAATTCTGTTTTACTAAAATATTACCCCAAAAACATCCTGGGAAGGAAGTATGAAATGCAGGTCTTTTCCAGAATAACTCTTAATGCAGAGATTTTATATGCTGTGGCCCAATTTGTAAGTCCCCCTGGCCCTATACTGTGGCCAGACTTTTTTGCATCAAGACCCCTGGAGACCTTCTCTGGGTAGCTTAGCCACAATGTATGGTGTACGGGGGGTGCAGCGCTCTCCCCGCTCGGTTACTGAGCATTCTGTGCTGTCCTCTTTATTCTACACCGAGCTCTGCAGCCAAAGATGCCTAGAAAGGTAGCTGCCGTGGGAGATTCTCCACACACTCCTCAAAGCCAAGTTTCCTGGAACTGGGACAGACTGCGAAATACTGTTCAGAAGGAGATGGTCGAGGCTTCTGAACTGGGAGAAGTGCAAACCTCTCCCCACTGGAGGACTGCAGTCAGTCACCCTGGAAACAGAAAAGCACTTTTGGGCCCTTCAGGGCTGCCAGTTTAAAAGTGTTCAAGGTAGCGGAGGCCTTCCACTGTCAGGCCTAAGAATGATCCAACCAACATGCAGAGAAGAGTACACAATGCAGGAGGAAATGGGCCACTTTACTGAGGCCAGCATGAAGCTCAATGTTTATAATATCGCTTTCTTCCTGTGGAAGATGAAAAGAAAATACAAAAAGAGGGGGGAGGCTTTTAAGTACATACTATTGACTCAAGCTACCCAGCTGTTTAAAGGCTTCCTGTTATGCAACCACTAAAGGCAATTTCTATCTCTAGATGAGTTCAGAGTTCTAAAACTGTCCTTTAAGTCTGACCGATTTAACACATCCCACAGATTTAAAAGGGGCCAGAGTGGCCTCAATTCTTAAAACCTTTACTTAAGCTTTTTTGGAGACAAACACCAAAGTCATGTTCTCTATAATTTCAGAGACCACTATCTACAGTGGTAGTCCCTATCGTTTTCCATCACCTTCTTGGTCTCCTTTTGAACAGACACTGAAGAAGAAACATCCAAGAAGGACGAAGGCTTAGCTGGGTCCATCAGGTGTACTCACTGCAAAATTTCAAGTTTCCTTAAATGACACAAAATCGAACAGTGGACAGACTCCAATATTTATATTGAGCTACTAAAAAGTTTAATTGGATTTGGTTAAATTGTCCCTTGTCATTAACCTACCAGATTTTCTTACCAGGGATTCAACATTTACTAGAGGGACTGCCATGTACAATCTAAGTCAGTGGACGTTAAAGCATTAACGCAACCCCTGAGCCAACACTTCTATCACCGTCTCCCTCTCAAGTAGGCAGAAATAAAGTCAAAAACGCTTAAAACTTTATAGGAGGCCAAGGTGAACATCCTTCTCCCAGAAATGCTTGATGAGCACTCAGACGACCCAGTCTGAGGCGGGGATCGGGGAGATTTGCCATACACATCATACAAACACACTCAAAATCTCAACAACCAAAAGAAAGAATTCAAATGACACTGTTTCAAAAATACAGAATACATCTTTATGCCATTTAAGAATGAACAAATAGAAAAATGTGAAGATTCTAGGCAAATTCGATTTCACACCAACTACCAATGCCCACCCCCCCCCCATGCTAAACTATATATTCTTTATCAACAAGGGGATCCGGAAGATAAAAGGATACAGTCATGGGGAAACAGGACAAGCATAATCACCATCATTGGGACTGGAAAGCAATTCAGCTGGGAAGTCGTCACATAAACAAGGTTAGCAAGAGAGAATTCAAACATGCTCACCAGATGAAGGGTCCGATATATAGAGTCACCGGACTTGTCATTGTTTTCAATCCTGGGCTTGCGCTTTATTTTCCACAGTGCAGACATCATCAGGAATATATTCTCATGGTAATTCTACCACCTGACGTGTTCCGCACAGAAACAGAAGTTTCTTAAAATACCCCGAGAGCGCCAAACGCCTTCTAGTTCCCAAGGGAGCATCCTCTCGTATAGACAGCCCATGCCGGCATGCCCGGGAAACCTACCGCTGCATCTCAACAGACAGGACAGAAGCCCTGCAGCCCCTGCTGCCCGGCAGTGGCCCCTGGGATGGTGTCAAAGGCTAACTCATGGACAAGAATTCATGCTTTCATTTCACCTGGCTCACCAACAAAAGTTCCAGAAAGGGAGAACCAAAAGACACCAGAACACAAAGCAGAAAAAGCCTGCCCAGGATGTGAGCGTCTCTCTGCTCTGCGGACCACGATCAGCTGATTGGCGAGCGTCATGCACTGCACAGGGATATTAAACCCGGCCAGCTCAAACAACTTTGAAGACACCCCTCACTGAGTCGGGAGCAGGCACTAAGAAAAATAAAATAAAAACACGCTATGTATTTTTTTTTTTTGAACAGTTTATGTTTTCACATTTTCCGCTAATGCGTTGTTACTAAAGCAGGCATTTCCGAGACAATCCCAATTTGGATTAAAAAGAGAAAAAAAGATGGCTTTCGGAATGGAAATGTTCTGAAAATTATTCTAATACATTTGCTAAGTGGAAAACAAAATCACAGCTGCCAGGGGGCCTGGAATGCAGAACAGGACAGCCAGGAGCTCATTAGCATTCATTTCCAGAGACAAGAGTTTTTTCCATTAGAAGCAGAGAAACAAGTGACCAGTGGAGGAGGCCCCTTGGAGGCTGTCACCTACCGTCACAAAAGAAAGGAGGAGGCTCACAAAGAGAAAGGACGCTAGACTGCCCCTGCAGTGTGCGAGCCCCACCCCCACCCTGTGGATGTCACTTTCCAGGGCCACCAATGCTCTTCCTGCAAGCCTGCAAATACTTACTTGCGGAACCCCAAAAGGCCGTGAGGAGCAGAACCTGTTATTTTAAAAAAAAAAAAAAAATCGAAAAACACATGACGCTCCAACCTGCGTTCTCTTAATTCTGCCCATTATTTTGTAAAGCAATTCATTTAGGAAGAACAGCAAAAATATTAAACAAAAAAATCAAGAGCCCTCACAGATGCAGCAGGAATAAAAAAAGGATTGCTTGTTTCATTTCATTCCTTGATGTGTTTGCTTATTTATATACTTTTACAGCCTGGTGCATTCAAGGTAAGGCTAAATCATCCTTCCACGGCTAAAGGCAGCTTACGACTTAAAAATTAATGCGCGGTTTAGCCTCAAGAAAAATTACTGATCTAGGAGACGTGTCAAAAGAATATTTCATCTTGATCAAGAAACTCAAGTTATCTGCTTGCTCTTACTTTAAATCATAAAAAAATACACCCAGAAAGGTTATGCATTAAGAAAAAACGTAAGTGGTTCATGAGTACGTATCTAATTGACTGACATAGCACACTAATTAATTAATTCCTTCTTTTTCCAAAACCTGGTATATAACACCAGACTTTAACCAATCTGGCCAGAAGGTAGTTTCAGCATGGCAGGTGACAACACAAGGCCTGGTTTTGCCATCTCAGAGCTGTGTGACCTTCACTGAGTTGCTAACCTCTCTGTTCCAATGTCATTACCTATGAAACAGAGGGAATAATAGTATTTCTCTCTCAGAGGTGTTGTGAGGATGAGATAAGTTAATATGAATGGTGCCCAATATATACAAGGTACGAAATAAGCGTTAGCTCTCATTTACTATTAAGAATACACGGTAGTGGTGGGGGGGGGGCTGGGTGGCTCAGTCCATTAAGCACCTCCCTTTAGCTCAGGTCATGATCCCAGGGTCCTGAGATCCAGCCCCATGTTGGGCTCCCTGCTCAGCAGGGAGTCTGCTTCTCCTTCTGCCTCTGCCCTCCCCACCCCCAGCTATGCACTCTCTGTCTCTCTCTCTCTCTCAAATAAAATCTTGAAAAAAAAAAAAAAAATACACAGTAGGACCCAGACTCCAAGAACCATTTGCTCAATTTAAGTTTTTTTGCTTCTAAAATATCCAAAGTGAGACATTAACTCATCAAAGGTCCCCATTTAGTTAATTAACTTGGGTTACATGACAAAGCAGTTCAAATAAAGAAGATAAAATATGAATCGAACGAAAACCAGGAAGTATTTTTGGGTACAGAATCACACAGTGCTCCCCAACCTAGTAAAAAGGAATACAAACTTAAGGTTTTAGCGCAGGTCACTGTACTAGCTTTAAAAATACTGACCATCACCCAAACTTGTCATTGACAATTTTGAAGACATTCTCTTCTACGAGAGCCCACCATGCATTTCTGCAGTGAAATCTGGGGATGGGGTGTTCTGTTCCTGCATCTAACCCTGTCTGTTCCAGGTGAGTTTTAGACCTATCCTCTGGAGAAAGAATCATAGACAGGCATCCAGGGCAGTTCAACAAAACCCTGGGGCCCCTTCCTCTCTACTGCCAGACCGAATATTATAGAGGACCCTGTTTAGGACTTCATGACTCACAAAATTTCAAATGAAAACAATCTCAAAATTCCACAAGGAATGAGAACATTGGCCTATTACAGTGAGGTAAAAATGATCCAAGTTAAAAAGTATTCAGAAATAAATGTTTTAAATACAGGAAAAATAGCTGTATTCTAAATCAAATTAAAAACTGAGAATTAACATTTCTAAGTTCAATAACAAAATGACTTAATAAATACCCTTCCAAACATCTTACCTCAGTTTGGAAATAATCCATTTCTCTGTCCCTCCTCCGTCCCCCAAGTGCCTAAAAGTAAAGTAAGGGCCACACACCTAAAAGGTAACTTTAAGCAAGTTTTTGTTTGTCTTTTTTGGCTTTAAATGAAATGCATATATTTCCATTCATCTGTGTTTTAATTAATAGCCAACAACATAAAGCCTTTTATAATTATCAGAATTACTTTCAAATACTAAATTTTATACTGTGCTCAACTTAGGACATGGAGAATGGTGATCTTATCTATGATGATCAAAGAAACACACACCGGGTAAAAGTGATGCTGAAGACACTCAAACATAGGCACACACATGCAGAGAAATGTAGTTTTTAAAAATAATGGTTCATATTTGAATAGCATATTTCCATGACCAACATGCTCTCCTACAAATATATTATTTGACAGCCCCCCACCCACCCCCATCATCCAATCACTGAGCAAAGGCAAGAATCACCCTGACATTGCAAAAGGGAAAACAAAGGTATAATTTAAAGTTAACACGATTTGATCAGAGAAAGTGACTGGTAAATGTCAAACCAAAGAAAGGTGGGTGGAGGGATCCACATACATATGTCAACAACACTATAAAAGGTGAATAAATACAGAAACAGAATCACGTGGGGCCCCTGGGTGGCTCGGTCGGTTAAACCTCTGCCTTTGGCTCCGGTCATGATCCTGAAGGTCCTGGGATGGAGCCTGCTTCTTCCTCTGCCCCTCCCCCCTGCTCATGTGCACACGCTCTCGCTCTCTCGCTCTCTCTCTCTCTCTCATAAATAAATAAAATCTTAAAAAAAAAAAAGAAGAAACAGAATCACGTACAATTACTTTTGCTGGGGAAGGACCTTTGGACAGAGGTAACACCAAGTTTTTAAATTGTACTTTGGACAGTGTGCCAAGAACAGGCTACTCCACAGAACCCTTTGTGAAGTGGGATAAAAGCATGATGAACTATGGAAAACAAATTCACAGTCTTCCACCAAAGAGTCAGAATAAGGGCTTTCTCACAGGCCTTGAACAACTGAGGGACATGCTATATGAATAAAGAAAAAGAGCGTTCCTTTCTCTTTAATGTAAAAACTGCTCACGTTTAACAAGAACCAAACAGATCATGCAAAAAGAGCTCATGGCAGAAACCATGCACGGCAAGAAGGTCTATCTGGCCCAGCCACACACATTTTGGATGGTATTTCTTCAAACACAAATGGAATGTAAGAGGGAAACAGGTGAAATGAGATGTGAGCTCATTAAAACTGATTTCTGCCCTGTGTTCGCACGTGTATGTTACCGAGGCTGTAACTGGGATTTCGTATCTCAGTGACATCTCAGAGGTAAAAACACTCAGTCCCATGGAGAGGCCTTCTAACCACATACAGCTGCAAAGGTGACATGTCAGCTGTGATTCTTCGGTGGTTCGACACGTGGGACGTGAAAATGAAAATCTCTCACCTTGCTGCTGTGATCAGTTTCATCTGAGGATTCCAAGTCCGGCCCTTCAGTCTCCTCTGGAGCAGTCTCGACACTGTTGCCTTGCTCGCTGCAGAGGCCGTGTCCTACAAGATGAAACCAGAAGAAAACGTGGGTCAGCATGGAAAGCAACTGCTACAAGGCAGGCCTGTGCAGGGGTGGGGCACAGGGTCAGGACCCCCGACACGTATGTACATTGTTAAGACCCTCCAAGTATGAGCTCCACGATCTTGGCTCAGTAAGTGCGTTCTGTTTGTTTATTCTTACTACTATTATTTTTACATGACAGTATATATATATATGTATTTTAATTTTATAACACATAATCGTATCATATGTTGAAGACCTAACCTCCCACGTGATGGTATTTGGAGATGGACCCAAGGACAATAAACATTCAGTCCGTAGTATGTGTGGTGTCTGTTTTTGCAAAAGTCTGGCAAACTATAAACATAACACCGTACTTCCATACTTCCCGCCATATTCTATGCAAAGGTGAAGGAAAAGAACATTACTATCACGGTCCTCTGGTGGGCTTCTCAAATTTAAAGAATATCTGAACCCCCAGGGGATCATGCTCTGCAGATCAGATTTGATAGGTTGGGGTTGGACCGAAACTTTTCCATTTCTTACAAGCCCCAAGATGACACCAATCAATACTGTCCATGGACCACACTTGTAGTAGTAAGGCTCTAAGACATTTAGACACTTGGATCAGGGACAACAGCACTATGACTACAAATGGGCAAGACAGAAAACGAGAGTGAAGGAGCCACTTTCTGACCCTTTGGATGAAAGCCTCTGTTTGCAAACAGGCTGTTTTATCCAGTGACACTATCAGAGTCATCATCTGCTTGGCATCACTTTCTGTTCAAATTCAAAGTTGGTCACCAAACAGGGAGGAAGCGGACCTCTAAGCAAACACTTAAGCTCCAAGGCTGCATCCTTTGGTCCCCTGTCCTCCTCTGTGATGAAGCACCAATGAAGTGAACACAACCTCAATGAAGTTTCCGTCCATGTCCTCCTTTTTGTTCTGGCTCTAGGATTTTCTTGCTCTTTTTTTTTTCTTTCTTTCTTTCTTTCTTTCTCACCCTCTGGCTCTAGAATTTTCTTTCTTTCTTTTTTAAGATTTATTTATTTGAGAGAGAGTGCATGCACAGTGGGGAGGGGCAGAGGGAGAGGGAGAGAAAGAATCCCAAGCAGATTCCTGCGCTGAGCAGAGAGCCCAACACAGAGCTCAATCCCGCGACCCTGAGATCATGACCTGAGCGGCAACCAAGAGTCGGACGCCCAACCAACTGTGCCACCCAGGTGCCCCTGGCTCTAGGATTTTCTAATTACTTGCTCTCTCTATCATATGGTGGTAGCAGTCAAAGAATGAAGCTCAGGTAACTAGGTGGCTATCGACTATGTCATATTGTTGCCTCCATGGGAAAAAAGCTGATTGAACACTTTGTATGGGGGCAATAACCTAGATGCTGGAGCCAGGAAAAAGGGCAAGAGTTGATCCCCAAAGTGGAGCAGTGGATAAGCTCATTTAGGGACACTTTGCTAAGAGCACTCGGCTCTTGGCTCACAGGAACCATGGCTCCCTCGGCAGGATCCAGAGCAGCCAGACTGCACGCCACGCAGGGGCACCGTTCCCACTGTGGTCTGCAGAACAACAACCCCCAGACAGCACAGCCAAATGCAGTAAGCCTGCGTACGTCACTGTGTAACACGTTGCCTGGGGTATAGCTGATGCTCACCAAATAGTGGGAAAACAAACTGAAGGATTTTCACTGTTAATGATACTGTGGGGCTAGATATCCTGAAAAAGGAAGGAAGGAAGGAAGGAGAAAACTTACCTCTACAAAACATTTAGGAATGCTAAATAAAACATAACAATATCCTTTTAAACACAGAACCGAGCTCCAAGAAATCCTAGAGCCCAATTGAAGACGATAAAATGAGCTGGTGGGCAAGTCTGAAAGCTGTGGCAATGTTGAGGAAATCCATCAGTCTCAAACCCTAGTGCAGTGTTTCCCAAAGAGAGAGAGAGAGATCTTTTGGTGGGTAGGAGATGAACAATTTGGGAGCAGGGAGCAAAATCACATAGTTGGCAGGGACACTTGAGTCTCCCTCGCTCCTGGGCAGTAAATACAATTAGCACTCCCTGGTCTCTGTGCCAATAAAAATGCACCCACACATTTCCCAACAGCAATAGCATCCCAGCTGGGGAACCAATGCCCTGGAGACTCTGGTTTCAACTCTATAAAGACATGATACTGAAAAAAAGTGTCATGGGGAGCCTGGATGGCTCAGTTGGTTGAGTGTCTGCCTTCGGCTCGGGTCATGATCCTGGGGTCCTGGGATTGGGCCTCCCATCAGGCTCCCTGCTCGGCGGGAAGCCTGCTTCTCCCTCTCCCACTCCCCCTGCTTGCGTTCCCTCTCTTGCTGTCTCTCTCTCTCTGTCAAATAAATAATAAACACAATCTTAAAAAAAAAAAAAAAGAAAACAGGTATCAGATCTGTAGGAGTTGGAGAGTTAGAACTGAATCTCCCACATTCATATGGTTCCCCTGAAGGGCTATACCCTTGGTCTAAAAAGATGTAAAAAGATAAAGTATTCACTTGCAGAAGGGAAGGAAGGGAGGGGGAGGGGGAGGGAAGCGGAAGGGAAGGTAAAGAGGGAGGAAGGAGCAAACAAAGGAAAGGAAGCTTGTCTGATTCTGCCTACACTCCAGGACAGGAGAGCAGGGAGGGAGCAGGGGGTGGGGGTGGGGGGGGGTTCTCCAAAGATGATAACCACAGGCTGGCCCCATGGGTGCTTGAGACTCAAATTTACACCATGTACTGCATCCAGGAGATTCCATGTCTTCGTCAGCTTGGGCTGCTGTAACAAAAGACCACAGACGTGGTGGCTTAAATGAAAGACACTTATTTCTCTCAGTTCTGAAGGATGGTAGTCCAAGGTCAAGGGGCTCACAGATTCAGTTCTTGGTGAGGACCAGTGGAAGGCCACCATCTCCCTATGTGCTCACATGACTTTTTCCTCGTGTGTGTAAGGAAAAGAGTGAGCTCTGCTCTCTTTGTCTCCTTATAAGGACACTAATCCCATCATGGGGGCCTACTCTCACAACTTTATCTAAACCTAATTACCTCCCAAAGGCCCCAACTCCAAAGAACAATCACATCGGGGCTCAAGGCTTCAATATATGGATTTTGGCAGGACACAAATATTTCATCCATGACACCCAAGATGAAAAACTGCCTTAAAATTGTTGTATATTTGTATTCCAAGGGCTCCAGCAAAGACATAATCAAAATCCCTCTTAATGAAAACCACACTTAATGATGGTATCATACAATACCCAGAGTTAAAGCTTGATCAAATAAAAACCCATAATCCATTATCATAAAACCCAGGAAGAACCAGGTCCCCACGAGTGAGAAGCAAGAGACACAATAAGCAACAGAATAAGATTCCCAAGGAATGATACTGCAATCATCAGATATAGAATGTCAAGTATATTTAAAAAAAATTTTTTTTAAGAAGGAACAAGAGATAACTTCAAAAAAGATCAGGGAAATTAACAGAATTTTAAAAATGTGAACTATAACCACTCAAATAAAACACTCAATAGAGGGGCGCCTAGGTGGCTCAGTCAGTTAAGTGTCTGACCCTTGATTTCGGCTCAGGTCATGATCTCAGGGTCGTGAGATCAAGTCCGGCATCAGGGTCTGCATTGAGCATGGAGTCTGCTTGAGATTCCCTCTCTCCCTTTCCCTCTGCCCTTCCACCTGTTCTCTCTCTCTCAAATAAATTTTATTTATTTATTTGAGAGAGAGAGAGAGAGCACGAAATGGGACTCAATCCCAGGACTCTGGGATTAAGACCTGAGCTGAAGGCGAATGCTTAACTGACTGAGCCATCCAGGTGCCTCAGATAAAACAAAAAACAAAACAAAACAAAACACTCAAGGGGCACCTGGGTGGCTCAGGTGGTTAAGTGTCTGCTTTCAGCTCTGGTCATGATCTCAGGGTCCTGGGATCAAGCCCCCGGGTCAGGCTCCCTGCTCGGTAGGGAGTCTGCTTCTCCCTCTCTCCCTCTGCCCTGCTCGTGTCCTCTCTCTCAAATAAACAAATGAATAAATAAAAACGTTAAAAAACACTCAATAGATAAAAATATAAAAATAAAAAAGATAAAAATAAATTAGTTCAAGAAAGAATACAAGATCTGAAGACATGACCTCCCTAAACCACAGAAATCTTCAAATGCTAAAACTATCATACAGAACTGTATTTCCAGCTAAAATATTATTCAATAAGAAGACTATAATGTTCTCTGAGAAACAAAGAATGAGAAGGCTTGCTACAAACAGAACCTCACTAAAAAACTCTCTAAAAGGATGTATAAGCATACTTAGGAGATACTGTGAGTTTGGTTCCAGACCACTACAATGCAGTGAATATCACAGTAAAGCAAGTCAAATGAATTTTTTGGTTTCCCAGTGCATGTAAACGTTATGTTTATGCCACATTGCGGTCTATTAAATGCGCAACAGCATTAGGTCTAAAAAATGTATTTTTTTTTTAAGATTTTATTTTTAAGTAATCTCTACACCCAACATGAGGCTCTAATGTATAACCCTGAGATCAAGAGTTGCATGCTCCATTGACTCAGCCAGCCAAGCACCCCCAAAAGTACATATCTTTATTTAAAACCACTTTATTGCTAAAAAAAATACTAATCACCTGAGCTTTCCGCAAGTCATAATCACTGATCACTGAACACCATACAAATAATAATAATGAAAAAGCCTAAAATATTGCAAGAATTACCAAAATGTGACAGAGAGACACAAAGTGAGCAAATGCCATTGGAAATGTGGTGCCAACACACTCGCTCAGGGCAGGGTTGCCACAGATTCTCAATTTGTAAAACACGGTATCTGCAAAGCGCAATACGGCAAAGCACAATAAAATAGGGTATGCTTGTACTTCAAGTGGGGACACACACACACACACACACACACACACACAATCTGATATACAATAAAATAATAAAGAGCTGATATACACACGTGCAAGTCTTAGTTTATAA